AACAAAGGCTCTTCAATAATAAACCGATCATCACCTCTCTATGCAATGTCCGGCTTTCCCAATCGTCATCGCCGTACTATCAAGCCCCCTCCCCAGGCCCCTCCGCACTCGCCATCCCCGCCAGCCGCCTCAATTCCTCATCCACCCCACCAGCCCACCCCATCCCCAACCCCGTAACCACCCTCCCCACAAACCAAAACCCCGCCAACCACCCCACAAACACCAACCCCAGCACCACCCACGCCGCCCTGGAAACCACCCTGCCCTTCCCATCCCTCCCAAACCGCCACCCCCTTGACGCCAACACACTCTGCGCCTCCAAAAACGGCACCACCCCCACCAACATCCCCACCAGCGTCGGCACCGTCACCCGCAGCCCCGCGGCGCGCGCGTGCGCCCCCAGCAGCCACCCGCGCAGCTCGAGGATCTCGGCCAGGATCAGCTCGGCCAGCACGGCGGACAGGCCGATGGTGGCGGCGAAGGCGGCGGCGGCGAGGCGGCGGCGCGGGGAGCGGGCGGCCTGTTCGGCGTGCGCTTGGCGCAGGGAGGGCGGGGCCGAGGCCGGCAGGAAGTGGTCGGCGCCGTCGTCGAGGGCGATTCCGCTGCTGCTGCTGCTGAGTTTGGTGCCGCTGCTGGTTGGGGAGGTGGAGGAGGGTTGCTGGAGGCGGGCGAGGTGGGGGAAGAGGCGGGTGAGTGCCAGGAAGGAGGCGAGTGCGAAGGTGAGTAGGGCTGGGGTGAGGGCGATGGTGGTGGAGAGGAGGGTGTTGTCGCCGGCGGCGGTGGGAGAGCAAGAGGAGGGGCCGCATGACGCGGAGTCGGAGTCCGTGATGGGTGGTGTCATGGTTGCTTTCTTTGTTGCTGTCCTCGTCGTCGCGGTCGGCTCGGGCTCGGGGATGGGGTTTGGAGAACGTCGGCGACGGCGGTTGTGTGTTTGGTGTAATTGGAAAACGCGAGCATTATATCATCGAGTTGTGATTGAGAAGCATGTAATTCAAGCGCTATGAGAGGTAAAGCTCCCTGGTCATTGTGGTGTTACGGGCTGGGCTCTGGTCTCCGTTCGCGATCTGTTCAATCCTCGGTTGGAGTTGAAGTTGAGAGGTTCCAAGCAGGCTTGCGCAACCGGACAAGGGACCCCAGACCAGAGCTTTGACCACCACCCCACCCTACCCCGCGGCCCCTGTGGTGGCCCAGGGGCACAGCCGCAGGAACTCTTGAAGCTGCCTGCCGGGTGGATGTGAACTGCAACCTCAACTGCAGTTTCAAAATGGAAGTCATCCGGCAACCGAAAGAAACCGGCCGAAGGTAGAGAAACATTCCCGTGCCTTTTCCTGTCCGGAGGACAATATTGCGCTCAAACTTTTGGAAATTACTATGGGAAATTGATAAGCAAAAATTACTATGGGAAATTGATAAGCAAAAATTCCTTATCGCGATGGCCGATTGGTTCGTGAGCACGCTGCACTCGATGTTGGTCACGTGCCTCATTGGCTCTGCCGAAACTGCTTCATCTCCGTGTCCTCGCAATCCGCTCGACAATCGCGAACATCGCGGTTCTCGCCGTTTCCACATCTACCGCTTTTCAAACCCAGGCCTTTCTATGGAAGACGTGATAGTCGTTCTGGGCGGCACTGCCGAGGCCGCTGCGGAGACAGCCGTGACACGCAAGTCGTGTACCAAATGCAATACTGAGCAGAACATTGACCAGTTCCTCGATGCCCGCGGGAACGGAAGGATTGTTGTCAACTGTCTAAGTTGCCGGCACAAGAAGAAGCTTCATGTGATATCCCTAGTTAAGGTAACGATAGTCGTTTCTTCAGCTAACCTTCGCAGATTGAAGCGTCGCGAGCGAGCATCGAGATTTCTCGCGCAATCGCCCGCGGAGAAAATTCTCTTTGATGAACAAACTAATCGGAGAGAGGGACTACTCTGCGCAGGAGATCTGCCATATCCTCCTGGGACTCCCTCTCCAAGAGGATAGCCGAGTGGTCCAGAGTGTTGACTGTAGACCCCACGAGAGGCATGCTCGCCCAATCGACATCACGGCTGATGGCGATATCCAGGAGTCTCAGACAGCATACGAGAGGTATCTTCGGCGGCCTGCCTCAATGGATGACGTCTCCTACTTTGAGTTCCTGCAAGACTGGAACTTCAAGGCGCGGAATCCGGCGAGGTGGGCGATCTGGCAGCCTCCTGCAATGCCCAGGGTGTTGTATTATTACCCCCGGTACAAGCCGGTCCGTTCCCATCAGCAGTACTCTGACTTCTGCCGCGTCAAGCTGCTCCTGAACCACCCCCATCGCCAGTCGGAACAATTGCTCGAGGTTGATGATCTGCAGTTTGACAACTACACTTCCGCGTATCATTACTGTCTCGAGCACCACGACCACCAGGACGACCACTACGGTACTGTCGACGAGCCCGATCCGCTGCCGGAAGAGGATGAATTCGAGCGAGGGGAGGATGCTGGGGACATCACACTTGAGGATTGGCAGGAGGTGGCCCGGCTGGTCCCCGCCCTCCAACTTCCCGAAGAACCAGCCGACTTGCTTGGACGCCGAGACATTGATGTCAATTGTGACTGGACACGACACATTGGTCGCTACTGGCACGACCAGTTTGGTACCGAGAGGTTACTGGGTGCAACTCCGTGGAGACGCTCCAGGTAATTACGACGTGGAAGAGATGCCTCTCGCAGCCCCGTGACACGTTGAACACGCAGCAGCAGCAGGTATACGACACGGTCATGCGCCACTACAGAGCCAAGAACGAGAACCGTCAGCCTCCGCCCCTTCGTCTACAGATCGACGGAGGAGGTGGGACTGGAACGTCGTACATGGTGAAGGTCATCTCTTCTCATCTTCAGGCCGAGGCAGCTTCCTATGGCCGAGTTTCCCCCATTGTCAGGGCCGCCCCGACGGGCGTGGCGAGCAACCAGATAGGGGGACAGACTCTGCATTCCCTTCTGCGGCTCCCCGTCGACGGCAATTACCGCTCGCTCTCCGAGACCCCGACGACCCTCAACGCCTTGCAGCGGGGGTTTAGGGGCATCCACTACCTCGTGATTGACGAGAAGAGCATGCTCGGCCTCAAGACCCTCGCGTGGATCGACCAGCGCCTACGAGAGGTGTTCCCGGAGAATCGTGACGAGTTCTTCGGCGGCCTCAGCGTCATCCTGATCGGGGACTTCTTCCAGCTTCCCCCTGTTCTGAACAAGCCGCTGTACTCAACACGCGACGACCTAAAGGGCATCGAGATTGTCGGGCGTAATGCTTACCTCTCATTCGACAAGTCGGTGTTTCTGACCACAATACAGCGGCAGCAGGGCGAAGACCAGGCCCCGTTTCGGCGGGCCTTGGAAGAACTGCGAAAAGCTGATGTGTCAGTACCCTCCTGGGAGCTCCTCGCTTCGAGATGCTCTGTCAAGCTCTCTCCCGAGGAGGTTGACAGCTTTGCTGATGCGCTTCGCATCTATCCCACCAAGGCCCAGGTCGTCGAGTACAACCACCAACACATGCTTGGCCTGGACAGCCCCGCCATTCATGTCGAGGCAAAGCATGAGGGTGTTGGTGCGGAGAAGGTTGAATCCTCAGATGCCGGCAACTTGGCCAAGCGCTTGCCCTTGTGTGTTGGTTGCAGGGTGATGCTGACGCGGAATTTGTGGGCCGACGTCGGGCTCGTCAACGGCGCACAGGGCACAGTCTACGACATATCCTGGAAAGAAGGTACCGACGTGCTGCGAGACCCGTCCGAGGTCATCATGGTGGCCTTCGATGACTACGACGGCCCGGGCTTCACGATGCCGAACGGGGAGCCTCTCCGTAGTGGAGAGAAGCTGGCTGTTCCCATCCTCCGAGTGCGGCATGACTTCATGGTCGGCGCCAACTCATGTTCAAGAGAGCAGTTCCCGCTGTTGGTCAGCTATGCGATCACCGTCCACAAATCACAGGGCATCACCCTGGACAAGGTCGTCTGCGACATCTCTGCGCCAGAGTTTGCTTCTGGCCTCTCCTACGTGGCCGTTTCGCGGGTGAAGACACTCGGCGGGCTGATGTTTAAGCGGCCCTTCGACCGCAGCAGGATCTACCGCGAGACACCATCACCAGCTATGGGGTTGAAGTTGTCCGATCACGGTATCAGGCAACTGCAGGCGTTAGATGCTGTGGCGGGGGAGGTTCCCTCAGAGTCTAATTGATTTGTAAGTAGCGAGGACGTGAGTGTAGATACGTAACGTGAGTGGCGGAATAGAAACGATTCGTAGATGGCTCAAGCAGATGGAGTTGTTGGCCGACGGACAGATATTGGCGCTTCGTCTCTCCCGTAATTAACCCTAACCCCGATTGTCCTCCGGAGAGGGACAGGAAAATTGCCAGGAGCGGGAGAGAGGAAGGAAGCGCCCCGTAGCGTAGCGAAGGGCCGCGCGACTGACGAACGAAGCGACGCCAGCAATTTTAGCAAAGCTTTGCTTCAACCAGTTCACTTGATTGAACAGTTTTTACAAAATACTCAACTAGGTAGTTGGCTTCTGTGTTGGGTCCGGCGGTGTCCGAGCCTTGCCTTGTTTCGTCTAAAGGCCTCAAAGTGATCGGCGAGAAAAAGACACAATTAACAGCGTATGACATTCAACGGTTGCGCCCTTCTCCCACATATTTTCCGAAGAAGAGAATGGCGGCTGAGAGTGCATCATAATTTACATAAAAAAAAACAAAAAAGACATCGCTAACTAGAGAGTGCCAACCCTGTGGTGTACAAATACAAGACGGCCGCACGATTCCTTGCCCAGACCCGGCTCAACCTAACCGCGCAATGAATGCCTCCATGATCCAAAGAACAGAGGCGCCGCTCAAAAACCGCATCGCAACCGTGCCGTGGCGGTTGCAAAGACGCGCCTCTAAACCACGTTTGTCGGTATCACTGATCCCACCCATGCCTGTAACGCCGGAAACACCCTCTCCCTAAAACTAGGCCGACCCCGGGAGCCGACTCCTCGGTGTCAAGCGACAAGAATACCGAGCCCAATATCTTCCTATGACTTGGTTGCGCGTTCCGGTGCCCTCTCCTGAGATTCGTCATCGTCGTCGTCATCATCCTCGAGCGTTTTCGAGTTGCCTGACTTGAGGAGAGCAGCAGCTTCGCCAACTTCCATAGCGTGGAGTCGCTCCTTTTGTTCTTCAAGCCCGGTCTGTTTCCGGGCTGCCGCGGCGAGCTGCTGACCGGAGACGGTCTCAACCTCAAATTCGTCGTCATCATCACCGCTGTCCTCCTCCCCGCTCTCGGCGGCAAGCGACGGTGTCGGGGGTGGGGAAAGAGAAGTCGTTCGTCCAGAGGAATGCGCCGACGGCGAGGACCGCCGTCGGCTTGTGTCGCGGGGGTTGTACGGCTTGATGGTGGGGTCGAACCTCGCAGGAAGCCCGATTGCTGCGGCGACTCGATGCGCCTCCTCGTCTGGGGATATGCCCTTCTCAAACTCGTATACACTGCTGGCTTCACTATCGGCCTCGTGCTTTCCCGAGTTGTACGCCAGCATAGCGGCGTAGCTGTGCCGCCCTGGATCCTGAGAACGCTTCTCCTTTTTCTTCAGCCGCTTGTCGTCCGGCCTCACCACCACCACGGGGATCGGGCTATATTGGAGGCAGTACTTGGAGAACGAATTTCGCGCGTTCATCAACCCTTGGAACCCCCCCAAGGTCCGCCCCTTAGTGCCGACCACAAGCATGGAAGGGTTGTAAATTCCAAGCTGGTTTCCCTGTTAGTAACGCCGCGACGGAATCATACCGAACCATTGGGAAGACCTACTAGCTGTTGGAATGTGTCATGTAGCTTTCCAACCGAGTATTCCAGTATAATACTGATAGCCTTGTTCAACTCGTTTTTGGATTTGATTATCTCCAACAGTTTCTTCGCATCCTCCTGGTAATTCTTGTCAGGGCGGACGGGGTTCTCCATAACTCGCACGCAGATGATCTCGTCGCCGTCGTCTACCATATGGGTCAACAACCAGACCAAGGCATATTGCGAATAGCTGTGTTCGTCGACGCCGATCATGAATGTGCGCGATCTTCGAGATGAGTGGTAACCTTGATGGCGCGCCTGAAGCGTGAATGACGAGGGGTTGTTCTTGGTCGCTTCACCGACGGGGAGGTTGTCGAACCCGACATGTTGTTCGAATCTGTGAGGCGGGGGCGGGTTCTCCGTTAGCGTGGCCATGCTGGATTGAAATTGGGTATGGGGAAGTGGCGGGTTGAAATTCTAGAGTGGCTGCGCGAAATGATGCAACTGGGAATGTGATCTAGAGATAGGCATTGACAAGGTCTTGCGGGAATTTCTTAATCTTTGCAAAGGGAATCCAAATCGGCAGCCGCCAAGCGGGAAACGATGGGGACGGAAGATGGCGGGGGGGAAACGTGATGTCTGTCTGCGCATGTGCATCGGGCCATGGCGATCTCGACCTTCCCACACAGCCACAACCCGGTAGTCCACAAGCGAACAAAAGGTAGACAGAAATCGAACATGGAGGGGAGGGCCCTTCTGCCGCCCTCACTAACGGAATTAGGCGAAAGGGATGATATCGTCCAGCCAGATCCAGCCAGTTAGTGGGGTTGCGGGGTCGAAAGTTCGGAGCTTTGGTTGTCGGCGAGACTTGGCTTGGCTTGCTTTCCATGATGCACTTGGAGCTCGCGTGAGAAACTCAACCATGCTTCCCGTCTCTCGCTCTGCATCGCCGTGATATGCCGATGGGGCCCCTCCGTTCCGTTCTTCTTCATGCAACCGCTCTGGACTCGCAGGTCGGGTGCGCCTCTCCCGTGTGTGGGCCGGGCGCATGCGGGGAAGATGGAGAAACGCTGCATGCTCTTCCCATGTGCGGCGCGACCAGGATGGGAGTGCACTGGTATCCGGCGGTGCGTTGAGGGACGGCCATCCATGTTTTCCCAATATCTCCCGCCCGCGCCGGTTTGGCACTTGCCTCGCACGCAAAACGCATATCGAGCTGGAACGACATGAGGCGCAAGGACCAGTGACCCATGCGGCCTTTGTTTGAGAGTAAAAGGGCTTTCGGGGAAAACAAAACTGGCTCTCTTCTTGAGTGGTACCACTGGGCTTGGAGGCGAGGGGCAGGGCAGGGATGAAGGGTAGTATGCGGTTACAACAAAAAGATAGCAAAACGGGTAAAGCAGACACTCACCTCACAGGCGAAGGCGAAGACTCCCGCAACCGGCGGTTATCTGTTTTCCGCGGGTGGCCTTGGGGAAGCGACGGGTTTCGTGGCTGCTGGAAGGTCACAGACGCTGTTGAAGACTTCCTATGTCCAACAGAAGGGCGGCTGCTGTCGTTTGAGGACTGTCGTGAGCTCTCGAGATGGCCCTCCTCTGAGATGGAGGCCAGGGTGATAGTACTGGCGTCAGTCGATACTGACACAAACGGCCGGGATAATCCATTGCGCCCGAAGTCACCGTTGGTGCGCGACTCGGGCGAGAAATAGTCGGCGGGGATCGACGACACTTTCGTGCCCGGAGACACATCCGAGTCGGGGCTTTTGGCGGCCGGGGAAGATGAAGTTAATCGGACCACATTGTCAATAACTTTGGCCATCGTATGACGGAATTTTGGTAAATTCGTCGCTTTGCTGAGACTATGCCAGTGCTCGTACGGCCTCACGCAGAGGCCAGCAGAGGCTATCCTGCGACAACAACTTGCATGGAGCCCAAAGAGCTCGAGCACGCGCAAGAACCTGGCGCTGGGGCACCAGATAGCGACGCTGAAATTAGCGCGCGTCTACTAGGTGATCGCGGGATGGCTAGAGGGCTGCTCGTGAAATATAAATAAATAAAAAATGGCCGAGTCAGTCGACAAGTGGGTGGGTGGGCTGATCAGGTACTGAGGCAGGGAGATGGGATGATCAAGTCGGGTGATTATCGGGTGCAGGACCACCAGATGCCTAGTACTCGGCAGGTAGCCACGGGCAGGCAACAGAGAAATTAGGTCGGTGATCGAGGTGGAATAAAGAGTTGGGCGAGCGCAGGTCGATGGCAGATGCAAGGCAGACCCCGACGGTTGTTCTTGGTACTAATAGCTTGGTCGAATGCTGGAAGGAGCTCTTTGGCGGCGGGGCGGGGCCGAGTGACCTCGAAGCTGAAGCAAATTTGGGCTTGGCTTCTTTCTTCTGGCACGCACTGTATGAGGTATTGAGCCGAGATGCGAAAGACAAAATGCTGGGTTCAAGAGATGGGACAAACTCACGTTCGCAAAGCAACAAGGACAAGTCGATGAGATGGGCCAGGGAGCTGGGGAATAATAAGCCAAAGCTTGGCTGCACCCTGAGGCAACCCCGTCAGCGCTCAGATATCGCGGCTCGAGCTTCCAAGGTGTCACTTCTCTCGCATATTTTTCGCCGTACGGCTTGGCAGCGGGCTGATGCAACGCTCGATCCTTGCAACTGGACAACTGGAGGGCCCAACGGCACCACGGCTGCGGCAATGGGCGAGCCGTCAATTTAGTGCCGCCGCAGGGCCGCATGATGAACCTGAGAGGTTCTGGATCCCTCCCCAGTTATTCCTCGTTGCTTTAGCCGTTTCGAGCAATCCTGCCCTCCCGCATTCCCGCTTTTCCAGCATGTGAAGGTTCGAAAAGCGGTCCGGGCCAGACGCGGTCGATCACAGCACGTCAAACAGTGCCAATAGCGGTGGACGGTGGACGGCTCCGACAACCGACCACAATCCGGGGTTTCGGGGAGGGGAAGACGGTCCAGAACAACAACACCAACTCGCCGAGATACACCGACCTCCCGATCTCGTCGGTGACCCCACATTCCACGCCCGCAAACCATCGTTGTGGCCATGTTCCGAGGCCCGTTCGACACGGTGAGACACGACAGGCCAAGCTTCAGGCAGTAGGGCCTTGGCAGCCCACCGCTGGGGTCCTGTCGAACGCGCTGGGAGATGGTGCCACCGGCCCAGGTACGCAAGCTGCGGGGAGCCGACGTGCAGTGTTCCTATCGAAAGAAATCAGCTTGGATGTACTTGTAGCTATTCATTGCCGGGGGAATCGATACAGCCGCGCGCGCCCATGCCGGATATCGTCACAACTCGCCTCGACAGCCGCCGGCCCCACCGCCTGGAATATGAAGCGCAGTCTTGGTCTCTTGGTATCTTGGAAACCGCAGGGTTCGCCTTCCGCCGCTTCGCCAAGATGCCCAGTGGTGGGGTTATCATCGACAACAAGGTCCCGTGAGAAACGCCCCTGTCGTGATGCTGAAAGACCATGGAGACCGGCAAGGAGGCGGTCTGCGGCACGGGAAGGAGAAAGGTGAGGATGATCTGTCTCACGTATGCAGTCAGGGAATCTGGCCGATAACGTGAGGGGAAGCTGGGTTGAGCAGTGTCCGGATATAGCTCCGTCGTACCTCCGGACAATACCTAGCTCAAAGCTCGTCCCAAAGCAGCTTACACTTGTAACTCCTTACCTTGTCTCGGTAGCCCACCAAAGCACTACCATCCCCTCCGTGAACTCTGAGAGTTTTACAGATTGCGTAAAGAGGTTTTGAGCAAATAGACTTACCTGCCCCAGGCACCTAGATATCTCTGCAGATACGCTGGGCGCCCAACCAGACAGACCCCCAATCGACCACGGGTTGTTCCTGAGGTTCTTGCAAACAATCTCTGGGATTCGGTTTCTCGGTCTTGTGCCCTAGATGCGGCGGGCCGATCAGCTCTGCGTTGGTTTGTCTTACGGGCTGTCTATCAACAGTATGACCGAGCACGACCAGGGTCCATGGCGGGGTGCAAATGAATCATCATGCTTCAGCAGGTACACGCGCCATAGTTGATGAGATGGAAGGAAGTACGGGTTCATTGATCCTTTTGTTGGGGTACTACTGCTGAGGTTGTATCTCACTCTAGTTACTCCTTTTAGTGTTCGAAATTGGTCAGGTTATGGGTGTCATCCGATATACGTGCTTCACATCTTGCTGGAACCGAGTGATTATCTCGGGCTGGAGTAGTGATCGTTTTTTTTCTTTTATTTTCTTTTTTTTCTCTTTTTTTTTTTTGGTCTTGGTTTTTTTCCTCCCCTTTCTTAGTTCTCGCTCGAATGATGTCTTGGAGAATACCTAAGATGGTGATATCTCTCTGAGTGGTCTTGGCGGGGGTAAGGATGGAAGCTGTTCAAAGTTTCCATTTGGTATCTGCCCAGGTAATCCATTAATTGATAAATCAGCATTACCCGCAGGCCAATCTGAGGAGCCATCCCCACCTCCATGACAGACAACGACCAAATAAAACAGAAACATGGCGCTGTCCATTGGGAGATCTGGAACCAGATGATCTTAGACAATTGATCCCAGAATGGAAGGCTCAGGGTACCATCTCCCTCCCCCACCACCAACTGCCCACCTCACCTCCAGCCCAATCGAAACCCCCCCTCGGGTTCCCGAGCTCAAGGTCCCCCTCTCATCCACCCCGCGACGCCATCCTCCTCCCCGCGTCGGACATGCGTATGTCTTGCCCAACCCGGAATGCATGTACTGCCCACTGGCCAAAGGAACCTGGAAACCCTTCTTCCCACACACCGTAACCTAACCGACAGGGCGCACCACACCATACCACACCACACCCACGCCACACGTCGATGGTCCCCAGCTGCAACCCCCCGCATCGACCAGAAAAAAACAAGCACCGAACCAGAAGCACCCGCAAGCGCCTCCTGTGCAGCACCTGCGCCAAGCATCCACGGGGCTAGAACGTCTCACGAATGGCCTCCCGTCGTTCGACCGAGTCACCCAGACAAGGGCATCGTGGTCGGAGGCCTCCAGTCCCTTCTTCAGTCGACATTCCTGGGCGGGGGCGGGACCGGGACGATGACGCCCCGAACCTGGGATAACCTCGGGGGCTTCGTCAGCGCAAATAGACATGCTCGGTTCGTCCACAACAATAGTCGATGATATGCAACATTGCGTTGTTTAATAAATCAGATCTTCTCTCCATTACGTCATTCCATTCTCATGCGGCCCTCTTGTTTTCTTTCTTTTGCTTTTCTTATCAACAACGTTGCACAGTCCTCGGATCACTGGCCGATCAGGCGGAACGGGGACGGAGACCCCTCCAACACCAGCCGGCGTTATCGGCCCTTGGCGTTCTTCGTCCCCCTTCCTGCCGAGCAGTCCCAGGTAGGGGTTGGGAATGCGTGCTTGGTACACTGGGTACATGCGTATAAAGACATTTACGCCGGACAGACTTCTGTGCTACCGACAAGCCTATCTCCACGGCGGCGCAACGCTGGGTAGTATGTATGTACGTGCGCGGATTACAAGAACGCATTGTGTGACGGTAGCAAAAGCAAGGACCTCCCGCTGCTCCGCGGATGGGTGCCGGAGGTGTCGTAATTTAGGACGGTGATGATGGGGGTCAACACGGCTGTCGTTATCGGACAAGAGACACGGACAGACGGGATCAACTCATTAACTTATTTGCGTGAAAATATCTTGTTTTGCGACTCTAAGGTCTTGTCGCGCCCGTCTTTACGATAGGCGCAAGCATATGGCGCCACTACCTATCACAGATCAGGAACTTTTGCTCCCCGCCTCTTGTCCCCATCATTTCATATCATGAACCCACGGTCCCTAGAGAATACACAACCCGGGTCCTCCCAAGACTGATTGTGCTCCGGGCCGCCCACCAGGGAAGGCAAACGCTGTCATCGGCATCTGTTCAGTAATCATTGTAAACCTTTTTGCCAGCCAACTCGCTCACCACCCCCCTCCTTAAATCGCTCGATGTGTCCGTCCGTCCATCCGTCCGTCCGACGCCTAATATGCAATGAATGCTTCCGAGACCTGCGTAGCCCGGACGCCTCAACCCCAAGATTACACAATGACTAAGAGATCAGGACAGGGGACGGGCTTAAGACTCCCGCCCGCGTCGCTGCTAGCATCAGTGCCATCTCTATTTCGCCTTGCCTGTCACGTTTATGCGTATGTGCGAGACAGGTTGCGAATGTACCAGTCAACCAGCTTGCGTCCCATCTTGGCCTCCGAGATGTGGATTAGATCCTGGGAATCAAGTCAGTATAACTCAGTAACGTCACGGCCTAGATAGAAAACTTACACCCTGCAGAGCATAGTCAAGGTCACTAACGTTGACAGGCTCGCCCTCAAGAAGCCCGTTCTCGGTCCACCGAAGCTGCTTGGTCCGCTGCTTGCTGACGAGCAGCCACGAACGGAGCTCCTCAGGCTTCACGTCGAGGAAGCCAGCCAGCTTCTTCAGGTCCATGGTGGTGTAGAGGCGCAGGTACGACTTGACGGTCGGGCTCCACATGTTGGTCTTGACCTCCTCCATGAAGACCGAGAGGTGGTGGTCGATGGGGTCGATGTTGGCCTCCGGCTTGTCGAAGTCAGGAGGAATGGGCGACATGAACTTGGGGCACGCGGACTTGAAGAGCTCCTCGAAAACGGGGAGCGAGTCGGGCCCACCGCGCTGCAGCTTCAGCAGCTGGTCGCCGTACTTCTCGCGCAGGGCCGTGTGGATGGTGTCATCCAGACGGGTGGGGTGGAACGCCACGCAGATGGCGATCAGAGCGAGCATCTGGTCGTTCTTCTTGGTAATGGAGTCGTACTGCGTGTTCTTCTGGAAGTTCTTGGTCCGCGAGACGTAGATCAAGATGTGGCTGAACATGCGGATGGCATCGGCGTAGCGGCGCATCATCATGTACGAGAAGCCCACATAGTAGTAGGTGGTGAAGTGGGCAGCCATCACGCGGGCGAACATGGCCTTCTTGTTCAGCTCGATATCGTCGAGGGTCTTGAGCGCGAGGCTGAAGTCTCCGAGAAGGCAGTGGACGCGGAGGAGACCGATGATGGAGAAGTACCCCAGCATGCGGTAGAGGTTCTTGGAACCGTAAGGACCAGCAACGGCCATAGGGTCCTCATTCCGCTTCATCGCCGCGAGCTGCTCGGTAATCTGAGACTTTTGGATCAGGGAATAGAGGACGTTGAGCACGCTGTAGCAGCCCCATGTGTTCGGGTTGTCGCGCAGAATCTGGGCCTCCTCCTCGTTGCCGGCTTGCCTCGCAATCCGGGCCCGGTACGTGCAGAAGGTGTTGAATTGGTAGATGAACTCGTCAATCACATCCCACGCCCAGTAATACTATTTTTGAGTCAGTGACCCAATAACAACCAAGTCGGAGAAAGCGGGAGGAGGCTAACCGTCGGGGGTTCCAGGTCCACGGGACCTTCTGAGTTGAGGATATAGTGGAACAGGGCGCAGTAGTTGTCGTAACTCGCGAACTTGGTCTCCAGGGTCGCTTGGAAATCCAGTGGTTGGGAAGCCTGAACTAGCCGCGACTGGATTTCATCGGCCTGCTGAGCGAGCGTGGCCTGGTCCATCTCCTCCATGCCACCCTCGGAATATTGAACTTGCTCCCTGTAGTCGGCAACAAGGGCCTCCTCCTCAACATCGCTGTCGTCCTCCATAGCGCGGGCGGGCGCCATGCCGGTCTGGTAACTCATATTGACGATCGCTCAGTACGGCGGCGGAAAGCGATTCGCGGGGTGAAGTGGTGTTGTCGCCGGCGTTCGTTGTCGTGACCGTCGCAAAGACCCAAAATGCTTTGCTCGGTGGGGCTAGATTTTTGTGGTCGAGGGGCTTGGACCAAGCGGTGAAATTTCAATGGCGCTGCACCGGTTTAGGGTTTGGTGTGTATGGGTAAAATTGGGTTGATGGTTACACCCCGGTTATCGCATAACAGAGCCAACAAAAGATCGAGACATAAACTGTGCTAACGGTAGATTGGAAGCCTCATTCCATCACTATGATTGCAAATGAATCATCTTTGACATCCCATGTATATTACCAATAGCCTTTGCCGTGAAAGAACGAAACCATGCACCTGCATGGTCTATTGCCACCATCGGCGCCGAATATTGCTGTAGCCAATATACGATCTGGGCATTTTTGCTGCCCCGCCCAACATCCCACTTTCCCTGCTTGGCTGGGCGTCCCCTTGAAGGTGTTAGTCAGGCCGACAAACTGCCCCGCGGCTTCCGTATATTTTGCCTCCCATCTCCTAACAACCATACTAGTAGTACCTTAGGTACATAAGTACCTCAGTTTTTGGAGGAGAACAACAACTTGGAACAACCTAAACCACTCAAGCCACCTCACGGAACCACCTACCTCTACCTCAAATTCCTTTCCTTGCGACACCCCAGGATACCAACGCAAGATGCCGGTTGTTACCCCAGAAAAGCTGGCAACGCTCCAGCAAAATGCTGAGGATGTGCGGAACGTGAGTCTCAAAGTTCCAAAGCAAAAAAGAATAAAAACAAAAGAAAAATAAAATAATCCTGGATTTAAGCTGACGAAATATTAGATTTGCATTTTAGCTCATGTTGTAGGTATCCGTCCTCATCCTTTGAAGGATGAAGTCGAACGAAGCTCATTGTTGATCTTAGGACCATGGAAAAACATCACTTACTGATGCCCTCCTAGCCACTAATGGTATCATCTCGCCAAAACTGGCAGGCAAAATTCGCTATCTAGACTCTCGGCCGGACGAGCAGCTCAGGGGTATCACCATGGAGTCGTCAGCTATCTCTCTCTATTTCTCCATGCTCCGGAGGTCGAGTCCCGAAGCTACCCCTGAGCAAAAGGAGTACCTCATAAATTTGATAGACTCGCCTGGCCATATCGACTTTAGCAGTGAGGTTTCGACAGCATCTCGTCTCTGCGATGGCGCTGTTGTCTTGGTCGATGCTGTTGAAGGAGTGTGCAGTCAGACAGTCACCGTCCTACGGCAGACATGGACTGAGAAGCTGAAACCACTGCTCCTCATCAACAAAATAGATCGCCTGGTTACCGAGCTTAAAATGACGCCGAACGAGGCATACATTCACCTCAGCAAACTTCTAGAACAAGTCAACGCCGTTCTCGGGAGCTTCTTCCAGGGTGAGCGCATGGAGGAAGACCTAAACTGGAGGGAGCGGATGGAGGCGCGTGTTGCTGCTTCTGCTGTCAAAGAGGCCAAAATTGCAGATCAACTAACAGATTCTGGCGAGCTTCACTTCGAGGAGCGAGACGATGAGGAGATCTACTTCGCCCCGGAGAAGAACAACGTCATCTTTGGCAGCGCCATCGACGGTTGGGCTTTCACAGTGCGCCAGTTTGCTGGGCTTTACGAAAAGAAACTGGGCATAAAACGCCATGTTTTGGAGAAGGTCTTGTGGGGGAACTTCTACCTGGATCCCAAGACGAAAAAAGTCCTTGGTCCAAAACATTTGAAAGGGCGGGCGCTGAAGCCCCTTTTTGTCCAACTAGTGCTCGACCAGATCTGGGCCGTCTACCAAGCCACCGTCGGCGATGACAACGGAAAGGGGGACGCTGTTCTTCTCGAGAAGATTACCAAATTCTTGAACATCACTATCCCCCCTCACATCCTCCGATCTCGAGACCCAAAGCTTTTGCTCACAACCGTCTTTGCCTCCTGGCTCCCGGTATCCGTTGCTATACTCGTCTCCGTCGTGGAATCGCTTCCGTCGCCGAGCGCGGCACAAGCTGAACGCTTCCCACTGCTGCTGGAAGACGTTCCGGGGGCAGACCACATTGACCCCAAGGTCAGGGACGCAATCGTTTCGTTCAAGAAGGGGCCTTCGGACCCTGTGGTCGCATATGTGAGTAAGATGGTTTCGGTAAAGCAGAGCGAGTTGCCAGAGAACAAACGACGTGGGCCTCTGAGCGGCGAGGAGGCAAGAGACCTGGCCAGGAAAAAGCGTGCCGAGGCAGCGCGCGCTGCACAAAACAACCCGAGTGAGGGCAATGATATGGATGCCCTAGCATCTGCCTTCTCTAGCGCTACCTTGGAGCAGAATGCCCAGGAAGAAGACGAGAAAGAGGCGGAACCGGAGCACTTGATTGGCTTTGCGCGAATTTACTCCGGCACTCTCTCCGTCGGCGACGACATCTACGTTATCCCGCCAAAGTTCTCGCCAGATCGCCCACTCACAGAGCCGGTACCTAAAAAGGTGAAGGTGACAGGGCTCTACATGATGATGGGTCGGAGTCTGGAGGCACTCAACTCAGTTCCAGCTGGTGCGGTCTTTGGAATTCGAGGACTCGACGACAGCGGCATTCTTAAGTCCGGCACCCTCTGCAGTCAATCGGAGGGAGCAATCAACCTGGCTGGTATTGCAAATATCCTCGGCCGCCCGATTGTGCGCGTAGCCTTAGAACCGGCGAACCCGGCCGATCTGGACAAGATGATAAAGGGTCTTCATCTGCTTGTCCACAGCGACCCCTGCGCCGAGTATGAACAATTCGCGAGCGGCGAGCATGTCTTGTTGATGGCTGGTGATCTCCACCTCGAACGTTGCTTGACAGATTTGCGGGAGCGGTTTGCCGGTTGTGAGATTCAGTGCGGTGCGCCCATCGTACCATACCGGGAAACCATTGTCCGCGCCGAAGAAATGCGTCCGCCTGTCAACAAAGATCTCGGCCGCGGCGTGGTTGTTGGTGTCACAAGCTCCAAACAAGTGACCATCACCTTGCGAGCAAGGCCCTTGCCCCAAGATGTCACCGACTTGCTGCTCAAAAATGCAGCAAGCATCAAGAGGCTGTACTCGGATCGCGGGGCTGCAGAGGCGGAAGGATCACCGACACAGGAGCCAGTCACAGAAAACGGCGCGGTTCAAGATGACTCCCCAGAAGCCGACGACGAGCTTAACACAGTCAGCAAGGCCCTCTCTCCCGAGGAGCTTGGGAAACAACTCCAGTCCCAATTCGACAACGAGAAGGACCGCCTTGATTCCTGGAAGGGCATCATTGACCGCATCGTCTCCTTCGGCCCGCGCCGCATAGGCCCCAACCTCCTTATCGACGCCACCAAAGACCAATTCCTCCCGAAGGCCTTCAACGCCCATGGCAACCACAACAACAGCGACAGCCGCCCCTCAGCCAACGAATCCCTCAGCCCGCATCACTTCTCCGACAAGATAGCCTACGCCTTCCAGCTCGCCATGTCCCAGGGCGCGCTCTGCAACGAGCCAGTCCAGGGCGTGGCCGTGTTCATCGAAGACGTCTCTGTCACAGGGGCCGAAGGCAGCAGCGGCGAGGATGCCACCTCAGCGCGCGACCACCTGGGCCGTCTGACGGGCGAAGTGATCAAGACCGGTACAGCAATCCATCCACAAGGCTCTCCTCGACTGGTTCCCCGCGGCTCATGCTAAGCCATGTACTCATGCGAAATCCAAGCCTCCAGTTCGTCCCCCCTCCCCCCCCCCCGCCCGCTCCTAACCCCCCCAACACCACACAGACACTAACCCCCCTCTCCCCCCTCAACAGCCGAAGTCCTCGGCCGCGTCTACGACGTACTCACCCGGCGCCGCGGACGCGTCCAATCGGAAGCCATGAAAGAAGGCACGCCCTTCTTCACGATCCAGGCGCTGCTGCCCGTAGCCGAGTCGTTCGGGTTCGCCGACGAGATGCGCAAGCGGACGTCGGGCGCCGCGCAGCCGCAGCTCATCTTTGCCGGGTTCGAGATCCTCGACGAGGACCCCTTCTGGGTGCCCTTCACCGAGGACGATCTCGAGGACCTGGGCGAGTTTGGCGACAAGGAGAACGTGGCGAAGCGGTATATGGATGGGGTGCGGCGGCGCAAGGGCCTGCTGGTGGAGGGGCGGAACGTGGCGACGGATGCGCAGAAGCAGAAGACTTTGAAGCGGTAGTTGGTTTGATTGATTGATTGTTTGTTAACGACGGGATTGCCTTTTGGGTTGGGAAGAAGAAAAGGGATGGACGTATGAATAAAATGTGGTGAGTTGAGATGGCGTCTTCCAGATGTCGAACCTGAATGCAGTTGAGCGAAATGGAAAAAGAATAATATATCACAAGTTGAATCATGTTTGTAAAATGCATCCTATTTCCTTTTGCTATCCCTCGTCTAAGCCGAATAGAGACTTCCGCGAAAGCCTGTCCGAAGCCAACCAAGCTCCCGTCCTGGCCCAGCCCGCGAAGCATGCCATCTTCTAAACGCGTGAAGAATGCCCTCGTCGTTCGGGCATAGAAAGCGTAGAGCCGGTTAGTAGATAGGTTGCGTGAAATGACCAAAAAACCAAAGAGATCGCGGAATCCCCGTCGAGGTTGGGGGGGCCCACATTCCGTACCCTCACAGCCCATATCTATCTGAAGGTCCCCAGAGTCGAGAGTCGCTAATTTAGCAAGAAGACCGTTGCCATGGCGATCGAGAAATAACTCGCACGCCGTGTCATTTTCCCCGTTAGGTGGAAGCCCGTCATTTTTTACCAGGAATGCATACTTTGTCAGTATAGCTGGAATATCGTATTCGCAAAGCCCCATCATCACCTATTTCGGGGCGTCGGACTGATACACAAGGAGAGATGAGCAGGAGGTCTCGCCTTTGAAAAGACGATGATGCATGCGAGGAAAAGTACATCAGGCAAATTGGTCGGGTCCCAGGGGGTGGGACAAGAGAGGTTTGCGTGAAGCTGAGAGCGCTGATGCCTGGCTATCCAAGCCAACGACGCAACGATGTTTGGGTAGCAGAGCAAGTACAGCGAGAATGCGGAAGAGACATGGCGTCGATTGGCCAAGCTCAAAGAACTCGCCAAAGCCAACGCGGACCCGAATATCCCGCGATGGAGTGGCGAGCACGAGTCCATGAAGGGGTCATGTGTATATTCAGGAAGCCAACGGGCGGCCGCTCCCCCCACGCCGACCTTTGATCGGGGCCGCGACCGTGGTCCAGCCGTCTTCATCAACCGTCGGGGTCGGCGGGGCTTGCTCGCTGGTGGGGGATAGTGGCTGCTGCGGGGTGGGGCCACTACCATTGGCACGGGGAGGGCGACCGTTATCCCGAGGGCCACGAGCGGGGCCTCCACGGCGGGGACCGCTGGGGACATTGCCGCCGCCACGAGACGGAGCACGCTGCTCGCCTGATGTTGTTCTCCAGTTACCGCTCTCGACAGCCCGCGACTTGGGTGGTTCCCGTGCCTCACGGGTCCGAACAGGGAGTTTCTGCTCGGTCGTGGCCTCATTTGTAGCGCCCTCTTCGGGGGCGGCCTTCGCCTCCGCCGCAGACGCCTCCTTCTCTTCCTTAGCCTTAGCCGCTGCTTCTTCGGCCGCAGCCTTCTCCTCAGCGGCCTTCTCTGCGGCTTCCTTGGCAGCAGCTTCCTTGGCTAGCTTTTCCTCTTTGGCCTTTTCCTCGGCCTCTTTTGCCAGCTTCAGGCGCTTCTCCTCAATTTCCCGCTCACGTGTGGCGGTGTCAATCGGGCGAGCCGCGCCGAACGGACTGGCTTTTGCGTCGCCAGGGGTAGAAGTAGCCGCCGCATCGGTCGCCTCCGAAACGGTCCGCTTGGTTAGGTTTAGCCTGGGCCGTCCCGCAGGGAGGGCGGCCGACGGCGCCGGCGAAGGAGGTGCCTCACTGCCCTCACGAGATTCGCCGGGCGACTTAACGGACGAGTCGGGCCCGCATGTTGTTCCGCCCAGTTGAAATCCTTTTCGGCAGCTGTAAGGGACGCGCTCGGGGCGCTCGGGGCGGTCAGAAAATTCGCGGCGAGGTGGGCGGGAAACCCTCATGGCCCTCACCCGGGCCCCAAGCTGCGGGCGACGCTCTCCGGATTCCCACCACGGAACGACTCGGACCGGCTTTCCATATTACGCGAGCGAGACCCCTCGCGAGACTCGGGGCGCTCGGGCGGGGCCCGGGGCGATAGGGGGCCGCGCCTCTCCCAGGAATTGAAGTCCCGGACTTTTCCATCGTCGTTTGGCTGATATTCCCGACGGCGTTCTCCGAAGTCACCTCCACGACGATCGCCGCCGCGGCCAGGGAGGTCGGCTAGGGGGCCTCTCTTCGCACCCCAGTCGAGATCACGCATTCCTTCCGATGAACCGAAGCCACCACCTCTCGCTTCAAAAACAGTTAGCCACCCAGGTCACACCTCTATTAAAAAAAATAAAAATACTCACGTGGATCAGCGACCTTGACGCGGATGGTGCGTCCCTGGAAGTTTTGGCCATCACGGGTAAGGGCGGTCTTGAGACCCTCGAGGTCGCCAAACTCGGCGTAGGCAAAGCCCTTGGGCCTGTTCTGCTCACGGTCTTCGATGATCCGCACGTTCACAATGTTGCAATCTTCGAAGAACTCGGTGACGGTTTCGACGGTTGCGTCATATCGACAGGTTGCCGAGATGCGCAGTATACGGCGGCTTGGTCGGCAGCTCCTGGGGTATATTGTCGCGGATCGAGTGGTAACCTGGAGCAACAACCTAAAGTTAATCATGAGGACGGAGAGCTGCCAGTGACGACGAGACATACCCCGATCGGTAGAACCGCCATACGAGGTCATGGTGCGACGGTCGGAGGGGGGGAGCGGCTGAGTGCCTAGTTGCGGTCAGTCTGTGAGCCCCTGCAACGCCATCCGCTGATACTGCGGACTCGAGGCTGACGGAATCTAGACAAAGCAATCGGGCGCTCATTGAGGGCGACGACTTACCGATTGTGTCCTCGACTTCGTCGGCCCATGATCCACCACCGCCGAGGGCTAGAGGGTCGGGTCAGCAAGGGATCGAGACAGAGGGGTTATGGGGCGTGGCCGTAGCGCCTAGCGGATTGATGGACGCGGTGGCCTTGGCGTGGGAGGGAAACTCACAGGTATCATTCATAAACTCAGTCAGAGTCAGCTTTTGGGCTTCCTTCTTTTTGGGAGCTATCCATGGGTGTTAGTGAACGATAGGCATGGTGATGTGGGCGGTTGCCCCGCGCTGCCGAGAGGTGGGCAGGGGCGGGCAGGGCAGTAGTAGTGCTCACTCCATGATTGCGGTTTTTGGGCGCGCGGCGATGTACCACCGAAGCGCGCGATGGGAATGTAGTTGGCCGAAGGAACGGGTCTTCGGCACGAGAGATGGATGGGTTTCTCGAAGTGAGAAGAGAGGATTTGTGACCCCGGGATGCTGTGGCAGGCGGGGTTGAATGAGGGAGGTGCGAAGATGTGGGCTTCGCGACCGAGCGGTTTGTCCTTGTAACCTAGTTTTGGGTGCGGGCGGAAGCGAAAAATTATTAAGGTGAGGTCGATTGAGGAATCAGGGTTGACTTTTTTTTCCGCTTGGCAAGGGTGTGTGGATGCGGCCCCCAGTCTACGCTAAGCCCTATCAGTTCTAGCGGGGCTCATCGGAGCGCTGGCCGCGCTTCGAGATTCTGCCATTTTTGGACCAGTCAGCGCCAGTCAAATGCCAGTGTTTTCATCGTGTTTGCAGGGCTGTCTTGTCTCTCATTGCATTACATATTGACACAACCTTAACTCGGCCCAAACTTGACGTACATAACATAACGTATTGATGATCAATACCTAGGTACAAAATACCGAACGACATATGCGTTTGGATGCATACGGAACCCCAGAGTAACTTCACCCAGCTTTGTCTCCGAGTATCGACCTGAAATTCAACAGTCAATAGCACTAGTGACTTCACTTCATCAGTTCATCGCTTCATAGTTTGAGTTTGACTTCGTTTCTTCCCACAAGATGAAACGCATAGTCATTCAGAACCCGGAAAATGACGCACATCAGGCTCATAATTCGATCTCTGCACCATCACCACCGGAAGAATCGAGGGTAGTTGAGAGGTCAAAGCCACGGCAGAACCAATCACTTTCACCCGAATTGATGGACATTTTAGTACCTTCGCTCAAAGTCGGGGCAGTTGCCGGTATGTGGCCATCATCAAGCTCTCTAGCTGCTACCATCTCAATGTGCTTGATCTCTCTCTAACTGGCAGTAGGCGCATGCGGTATCTTTACTGGAGCGGCGGCGGGGATCATTCGCTCGGCTCCGACAGTGTTCTTCTCAGTCATCGCGGGGGGGCAATGGTTTACACTGGGCACCACTTACTATGGTGAGCTGTATTGCGCGTATGTTGTTAATCATTTCTAACAGCCCCCAGCCGCGCGGTTAATGTCGTTGAAGCGTTTTGCCCAAGCAGAACCGACAGAGGGTGATAAAGTAAAAGCGAGTTCTCTTGCAGGTGGTGTTGCTGGGACTCTAGGTGGCATGCTGAGTAAGTGTTTGCGGAGCAGAGTAGATCAAGCTTTGTCCCCTAACATGATGCAGGGGGGCCGAGAAACATCATCCCAGGGGCCGTGGTCTTCTCGTTGCTGGGGGCTGGGGGCCAAAGCATCGCGAATTGGCAAGGTAGAAGGGCTGCGAAGGCTGCGGAGGCGGCGAAAACCGCAGATGCCGCGGTTACGGCTCCGAAGTCGCCTAGCGAATTTTGGTCCCGATGGAGTCCCATCAAGCAGCTATCCGACCAGGAGTATGAGAATATACTCGAAGAGAAACTTCTCCGAGTCGAAGCAGATATTGCCCTCATAGACGACCGCGTCAAGGAGCTCCGCGAATCCGAACGCCGGATGAAAGAGGGGAACTCCGACGGCGAAAGGAACTCGGCGCCCTCAAACAAAGCTTGATTAGGGCTAGGGAAACGACTCAAGCTTTTTGTGGGCAGCCGAGCCACCAGGGAAACTGTACCATTTAATGTAAGTTAGTCGCCAAACCGAGGCTGGGTCGGGATGGGCTAGGATGAAGCTCAGGGTAAAGAGTGTCGATTAATTAGTCTATCTAGTTCTATTGGAGTCTAACACAGTCATAGTTATAGTTGGGTGAATCGTCACCACAATCAATATATCGCTCCGCGCGCCAGGTTCGCCAGCTCCGAGGCCATTGCGATTTCCTGCGTTATGATCGGCTGGCGATTCAATCTGTAAGACCAGGTCAGCCGGACAAACTTGATGAACAAGAGTTCAAGGCCCCTACCTTTCTGAATCGCCCACGTCAAACCATTAGCAAGCGCCAATACGGCGCTCACATGAAACAATTTCCATCCATCCACCACCCGAGCGACGTTTATAACAAGGAGTGGCACGGCCGGTCTCAGCGGCCTCACAACGGACCGGTGAAGTTTCTATCCTCCCCTGAGTAGCCGAGTCTCGGCCAACCTACCGGGAGATTCGAGTATTTCGGCAAGACATATCGACCCTCGCATTGCATTACCCCACATTTGAGGTCACATAGCCCGAACAGCTTGCAATAGCACTCCGATGCCGACGGGCAAAACACAGGCTCTTTGCCGAAGATGACTAGATGCCGTTAGCCTCGAGAGGATCACTAACGCATGGGTGGATGACAGGCCACACTCACTGTGCCACATGTACTCGAACACCCGCCCACTCAAGTCATCATCCAGAGCCGTCTCCAACAACCAATCCCGCCAGCGGACGTAGTCCTCCCTCGGCCGGCTACGGATAGTATCACGCGAGACGGCAAACTGCGAGCAGCAGCTGACGCCGACCTTCTCAGGGACCTCAACGCCCGGCAGCAGCTCCTGGAACGCCTGCTTGTAGATCTCCTTGGTGGTGAGCGGACGGCCCCCACTGCCGGTGCCCATGCTGCGATCCCACTCGCTCGCCTCGTCTTTGTGCGGGCGGATCTCGACGGGGCAGCCGAGCACCTGGACGCAGCGCAGGTTGACGTAGCCCGAGGACTGCACGTAGTCCAGGTGGAGGTTGCGCAGGGCCGGCAGGCTGTCGTAGTCCGGGTCGTCGTTGTGCCAGGCGAAGCGCGAGGCGTGGATGAAGACGGTCGTCTCGGCCAGCGTGTCGTAGTTGGCCACGATGTGCGTGAGGTATACCATGGCCTCACGGCCCTTGTTTTCCGGGACCGTCAGCGGGGCCGTGGGCTCGTCGACGACGTAAACGCTGCGGGCCCAACCCGGGAGGAAGCGGTGGACCCATGTGGTGTCCTCGGAGCTGACGCTGGCCACGACCACCTCGACTGGTGGCTCTTCGGTGAATAGGGACCAGTCCCAATGGGGGTGGAAGTGAACGACGAGCAGCCAGCTGCATGCGAGAAGGATAAGGATGGGGATCACAGATCCCCTTGCGCTGGCGGAACGGACCAACATATCACAACATCAACAACACAACTCAAGGAAAATAAGAAGAGCGAAAGACTATGGTGAAGAGATCAATGAAAGGGTAAATGAAGATAACAACATTACGAAGTAGAGAAGAAGAAAGTCAAACCCGACAAGAACACCACCCAGTCTTTCTAGAAAAAGAACCCAGCATAGCCCTGGAGTGATCTTCCAAGGTTGGCCCCCATTCCGGTCCCCATTCCGGGCTCCGTCAGCAACAACAGCAGCGGCACGGCGGGGGCTCCCACAACCCGACCTGCTACCAACGCCCATGCCTCACACGGCCGCTTATTTCCGGCCAACCACAGCCTGTGCCTTTTTCTCGCCGATCATCAAAGACCCAAGAGCTTGGTGAATGGCAGCAAACTGGATTTGCAAGGCACTTGGCGTTTCGCCCGACGTTGTGGGGAATAAAGATGCGATCGCCATTTGCGGGATGGGGGGGTTGCGGAGCGCCAACCCTGGGCGCGTATCCGCAGCCGAGTGTGCAGTTCTTCGTATGCATGTACGGGAAACATGCCGATGCCGGATTAGCCGCGCGCAAACGTACGCATTCCCGATTTGCATACGTACGCATCGTAAGTTAGGGCAACCTCGAGTTGACTGCAGATAGAGGTTACACAGTAGTGTAGGCAGTGTGCAGTGGGATAGGCAGTTGGTTAACTAAATGAGAGAAAATGGGGCCCGGTTCGTCTTCCCCGGTCTTAAACCTGCAGTGTTGTCCTGTTTCATCCTCCTTATTTGCACTTGCTTCTCTTGATCCCCCCCAGGGTTCGACCAGTGACATGAATAACTACACCACAACGACTGCGAGAGACTGCTGGGTTTGCCTCGCCGGTGATGCCGGGGAATTGAGATTAGAAGTGGAGGAAGAGTCGAAGAGAATTACGAATAACTAAAAGAGGAGGCCTCAATGAACAGTGGAGTGCTAAGGGGTATCCACCAGCGTCATATCCTCATTCATGGTTTTCCATTAGGGGTAACTATGGATATCATAGTCTTCACAAAGAGAGGGGTTTGTTGGTCAAGACAATGATCCCAATAGTTAAGGGGAACTTTGCTTTTGGATGGTGTACTCGGCAGCTGATAGATCATCCCTTTCACAACAGGGAGTTGACGGGTGGTGTTAGTGCAACATCTTTCTTCTTTGGCATGTAGATACCCGAGGGTTGGGGCCACAGGAATCACAAGTGTAAGCCAGTTGCTTCAACTCCGGACAAAAGCCAATTGACTATCGGACAGCTCGGAAAGTGGGAGGATTTAAATCCGAAAGGTTCATTCAAACAGTCTTCCCCCTTACTGAGGAACACGCGACCATTTGGATGTCCGGGGCATAAGGGAAGTGATGATGCGGCGTGTGGGGTCGAGCCCCGGCGCCCAGGGGTTGCCCACTAACAGCACAGACAGAGGCGAACCAGCAGGGCCTGCACGGCTGCCCTGGTTGGTGGGGGCGATCAAAAAGAATCCCCATCAGCCCATGTCGCCCTGGCATTGGGGAATTGCTGGAATTGGACCCAGCTGTTCATCAAATTCCTTGGCGCGACTTTGCTGACAGCTTCGCTCCCTGCCTTTGCTTCAATCCTGCCGAGAGGCTTCAAAGCTTGATCCCTGGGCTTAGTTGCTGGATAGAGCTGTCAACTTTCGATCTTCTATCGTTTGCGATCTCCCATTCTAGCGATACGACCCCCCCCCCCCCCGGGCTTCCGAGAAAATCCCCCGAGAATCGACACGACGCCGTTGCGACGGTGGTTATCAGATACCGAATTCAACACGAACGAACGGACCCTATAATGGTATTTCGCAGCATGCCCCGCGATTAGAGGATAGAGCCCAGTGTTTGGCTCCGAATCCCCCCAGTCTGGTCGAACCGTGGATTGGAGGACCTATCGGCTTTGCTTTGCGACTCATGGGTGCACCGGCTGGTCGCTGGTCCCTGTTTTCGCCCAAGCTCGGTCGAGATGGCCCTCCTTAACCCGACTTTCATATTCGGCATCTTCGTCTTGCTGTACCTCTCGTCGTTCGTTGTGTTTGCCGTAATTCGTATTATCACCGGCATCTCGATCCAGCGCATTGGCTATTTCTCGCTCCGGCGGCTAGCCTATACAGCCCGCGATGGCGTCCGCTTCGAGATCAGGGGCCTGGGCCTGAACGTCCACAGGCCGACCTTTGCCCAGCCGACGTGGCTGAGTATTGTGATGGACGAGTTTGCGGTTACAATCAACATTCAGGAGTTGGAACGGGCCAAAGCAAAGGAGGCGGCACCCGAAGATGTGGATTCCGATTCCGATGTGGCCGAGCAACTGCCTCGACCGACGACCCCAAAGACGCCAAGGATACCGAGGCCGGTTCGACGCGATATCGATCCAGACGAGCGGAGCAAGATGTGGAAGCGGTTGACAAGAGTCAAGGAGCGCATTAAGAGACTGCATCGGAAGCTGAATTGGATCCGCATGGTCGATGTTGTGGCTACCAATTCGACCGTCAATATTACTGGCGTGGGGAACCTACAGATGGGGAGCCTCACCATTGCCGTGGACACTCGGCGGAAGATGGTCGATCGTGCTCGCTTCTTCCTGCAGGCGGGCTCGCAGAGGCAGCCCCAGAACCGGCAAGCCGAGTGGATAATGACCCTTCGGAGCGTGCTGTTCACCGCGGAGGGCGGAGAGGCAACAGAGGTTCTGGATACCGCAACGTTGAACATTCACGGTTACCTGTACGAAGCTCTCGACGGTCTCCGCGACACTGCGGTAGCGCTGAAACTCGGTCGTCTCCACATCCCCTACGACGATGTTCGGCACGGCTTGGCGCAATACAAGAAGATTAGGTCTACGGGTGACGAGGCGTTTGCCCGGGCTGAACCCGTCGATGTGGTTGTCGATCGTGTCATTCAGGAGCTCGATGTTCCCGGTAGCACCAACCACGAGCTGATGCAGACGGTCTCCGACTCGAAAGAGCTGGTGAGCTCCGTCTTGAAGGGGATCAGAGAGGTCCAGTTTGCCGTCAGCTTCATTGGGCTCACCAAGAAGATCGACGCTGTCAAGCCTGGAGGGAACCCAATCATACTCACTGCGTCCATGAAGGAAGTGGGCATCGACCTTCACCGACTGGATCCCAAGTCTGCTGCTCACAGGATGTACTTCCCTTCCAAGGACATCGCCCACGAGGCCTTGGCTGCTGCGCTCTCAATCTCCGTCGGACTTGATGATGGGCACGGCAAACCGGAACGCATTATGTACATCCCCATGGCCACCACGACTGCCAGGACTACACTTCCCTCCAAGACAGTCGAGCTAGCCGATGATGGCACCGCCGAGCAACGGAACGCCAACATTCTCTTTGCCAACTCTGTCGTGACTTCTCCGTCTGTCGACCTTGATCCTCGACATCTCCCTCTTCTTCTGGCGATGCTTCAACGGAAACCAAAACCCCACAAGACGCCCCAGCAGCAACGCCACATGCTCATCTCACGATTGCTCCCCAAAGCAACCTACAAATTCTCCATGCATGAGCCCGTCTTGAGGATAGCACTTCCACCGGTACAGAAGTCGGCGGATCCCGACGAATTTGACCTAATCATATCATCCATATCATCCGTCTCTCTAGACATGGAGTCATTCCACTCGACCGTGGAAGAGCTCCATTACTCTCTTGCTGCCACGATGAGAGTCCAGACACACAACCTGTATTACCAGACCTCTGCTGGCAGCAGATTTGACCTCCTCGAAACCGAGACATTCGACTTGAAGGTGCAGCTGAACGCATCACCAAACGTCCACGTCGTTGTCACCGGGAATCTCGAGACATTCACCCTGAAAATGGTCAGGGAGGAGATTCGGGACGGCTTACGCCAGATCGTTCGCCAGCTGAGGCTCAATGTTGAGCCAGACAAACGCGCCGTATCAAAGACCTCGACGCATTCTAACTTCTTGCGCGCATTACCCACCTGGCTATTGCATTTCCAGCTGCAATGCTCAGACTGTAGCATCGAAGTTGCGGGCGTGGACAAGAGCATCTCGGAAGACTCTAGAGGTGTTGCCATTCAGCTAGACTCGTGGTCTGTCGAGTACCGCGCCCAGAGACTGAATGGCCTACAAAGGCGACCCTCTCGACGGAGAGCCAGCAGTCGCGGCATGATGTCGCCGGAGAACGAGATGTTGAGGGCTGTCCCGGCATCCCCCAGGAAGAAGTACCACCATGACGGTGACGGCCGCCGCATTTCCCTGCATGCCCGCGGCTTCGAGGTTTTTATGGTCGAGTCGGCAGAGAAGTGGGAGTTTGAGCCATTCATAAACATCCCTAAGTTTGAGGTCGCCCTGTCCACCCTGAGCGATCACCAGGGCCCCGTCTTCCATATCCATTCCCACATCAGGACCTTTCTCTTCCACTACTCGCTCTACCGTCACTATGCCATGGGGGTGGCCGTGTCGAATCTCCGGAAAGCATTCATGAGGACAAGCAAGCCCACCGCCGAGCCGAGGACACCACCAATGTCGCCTCAGAGGCGGGTAATTGGTCATCTTTCGCCGCCCCCGGCCGGGATGTCTTCTGATTTCAGCCTGGATGCTGAGTCTTGGAAGACCATGCCTGAGCTTGTCGCTATTGACTTCAAAGTCACACTCATCCAGGTCAAGGCCGACTTACCTTCAGATCCCCCCTTGATGCTCCACGTTTACGGCTTGGAGGCTGGCCGCCACCGATGGTCAGCCCCGTTCCTCCAAGCGAAGCTCATTCGGCTATTCGCTGAAGCGCCTAGGATGCGTCGAGTATGGGCTCGGGTTCTAAGCGTCAAGAATGTTCGAGCCGACTACCGTGAATCGCGGCACAAACTCTCGGGCGGGGGCCTACGTGAAGACCGGATGGTTGACGTCGTTTCGGAGAACGTCCGCTTGGCGGTCCCTCACGAGATGGTCATCTACAAGATTACAGACAACTTTGTCAACACCTTCAAGTCCGTCCTTCAGCTGCACCACAGGTTCAAGACGGGCACAGACGAGTACATTCTCGAAAAGGGACCCGAAGGTCCCAAAAAGGTGCCAAAGGTCTCCATCAGAGCAAAAAGCTTCCTATTCGAGCTCGAAGACGGTGCGTTTGAATGGAAGCTCGGGGTTATTTACCGTGCCGGCGTGGTTGAGATGATGCAACGCCAGGCGCGCGAGGAGGCGTTCCGTGTCAAAGTCAAGAAGATCCACGAACAAGAGTCTAAGAAGGGTTTGTCCAAGTTGCGAGCTAGGTCAGCGGCTCCCCAGGACGAGGTCCCCGCGCCTGATAGCTCCCATACCCGAACCCGCAGCGCCGATGGTCGGCGTCGCTCACTCAGTGACGGGCATATGCGTGGTCGGGCACCAAGATATGACCCAGAAAACGGCTCCCACGCAATAAGCGGAAAAGCCCGCATCTCTATCGCCGATGCAAGGCACAAGTTGAGCATGCACAACGCCAAGAGCTGGAAGCAGCGTATCGACCAGCAGTACGACCTCGCGAGGAATGTGGCAAAGGACGTGCGCTCTAGCTTCTGGGGAGTCAACGAAATCCCCGACGACCTGGAGGACAGCGAGAAGATATTAGAGGTGCCGCAACGACCGGCGCTCATGGCGGCTCTCATCGACGATCTACACATCGTCATAGATAAGCCATCATTCCCAATGAAAGAGCTCCCGGAATTCCTGCACAAGGTTGGGAAGGGTATGCCGAAGGACATGAGGTACGCCTTGCTCGTCCCCCATGAGCCTCCAGGTCAGCATGGGAGAAGCGAGGATATCGCTTCTTGATTATCCTCTGCCTTTCGTACATGTGCCAGCAACCAAATCCGGCCAATCTGTTCGCCTCCCAGCTCTGGCTATGTCAACGGATTTCGTGATCGCAGAGGAGTATCGCGGTCCAGGGTCAACTAGGAAGATCCGAGTCCCCATCGTGCCGCCACACGGCCTCGACCCAGCGTCCCCCAACGAAGGGGGCTTTTGGGTGGATGTGCGGAGAACAATCGGGCCAGTCAAGACTTTCTCAGACATGAGTGTTGATATACACACTGCCAACCCAACCCGGATCACCTGGGGACCGTCGTACCAACCCGCGATCCAAGACATGATGATGGCCATCGAGTCCATGACGAAACCGCAGCTCGACCCTTCTGACAAGGTCGGGTTCTGGGACAAGATTCGTCTCAACTTCCATTCCCGGATCAGAGTGGCCTGGCGCGGTGATGGCGACGTGCACCTGGCGCTGAAGGGCAGCAGAGACCCATATCAAGTCACGGGCAACGGCGCGGGCTTCCTCATGTGCTTCCGGAACGATGTGAGATGGAGCATTAATAGCGTTGACGACCCCAAGCGCTTCATGACCGTCGACAGCGGTGAGTATGTCCTGGCCGTCCCGGACTATAGCCACCAGGTTCGCGAGGCGCGCCGCCAACACGGCGAGGACGAGAGCATTAGCAGCGGCTCCAGCTTGAAATCCGGCGCCACCTTCAAGAAGGTCGTCATGAAACTGTCCGGAAAGGTGCAGTGGCTTGCCGGCCTTGTGTTCGAACGGGCGATCGAGCAGGGAAACAGGAGTTTCGAGTCCAAGCCACACTACGAGGTCGTTCTCAAGTCCCCGCATGAAGCCAAAGCACAAAATGGTCTTCCTTACGACGCCTTCCGTGGGTTTCGCAGCCAACATATCCATCTCTCCGTCGCCATTCGTGCCCCAGTTGATCGGGAATGGTCTGGGTCGGTCGTCGAGCCTTCACGCAGCTACAACACTGTCCATCTCACACCCCGTTTCTTCACTCACTTCTTTGCTTGGTGGTCCCTGTTCTCGGGGCCGTTATCCCTCCCGATCCGACAGGGCTCGTTATGGCCCGGCAGGGAAAAGAGCAGTAAAAAGTTTGGTAGACATCTTGCCACCATCAAATACAACATTCTGCTAGCGCCACTGTTTGTGAGCCACATCTACAAGCACAAGGACGCCGAGGATTACACGGAGAACGCCGTTTCGGCGACCGGAATCAAAGTCCGGCTCGACAGCTTCATGCTCGACTTACACCAGCGGCGAGAGGAATTCAGCACCAGGGATCGCGGTCGTGGGACACAAACCAGGACGACTGGCATGAAGATTCACGCCGGCCAACTCGATGTGGTCTCAGCGGACGTTCGTGCTGTCTCGGCTAGCATTCGGGGCACCACGGCGGATGCCATGATGAGGAACTCTCTCTCAACTTTCATCACAGACCAAGAGGGGGATGGCACTGATCTTTCTCGCTTCACAATCCCCGACAACGATTTGACGTGGATCGACATGGACGACTTCGTAGAACTGGACTGGATCTTGCCGACCGAACCCAATCCCGACACCAAGATCTTGCCGCTTGCTTTTGCGCCCCGTGTCACCTACTTCCGACAGACGGACATCAACGGCACGATTGCCGGAGACCCAGACAGAACGAGTCCCTTCGGCAAGGAGCCTACCCACTTCTGCAACATGAGCCAGGACGACGACCCTAGAACGGTACAATGCCAGCTCATTCGTCGGCGGTTGGAGCAGCTGGACGAGCAGATCGAAACACATCAGCGTAACCTAGGAGAGATTGAACTTCGTCTCATCCGAGGCGACCCTGATGACGCGGACCTTGATGCTGAATTCCAGATGTTAAACCGGCATTCGGGGGTGCTTGCTGGAAAGAGAATGTTCCTTCAAGGCATGCTGGCGGAGATGACGCCCAATTCTTCTTCGAGCAATGCGAGCCAAGAGTCTACAAGCCCAAAGGAGTTTCTCGAGGCTACGCAGAGCCTGCAGGGAACCATGTCAACTCCTGCTGCCGCCGAATTTGCGAGCGACTTCAAGAACAGATTCGTGGTCCACAACATGCAGCTGAAATGGAACAACACCCTGAGGAACATCATCCTTCGCTACAGCCATCAAGTTGGGCAACGTCGCGGTTTCGTCTACTACCTCTCTCGCCCTGCTGTTAAGTTCATCTTGGATCTCGTGGAAGAACAGAGCAAATCTAAAATGGGCAAAAGCACACCAACGCCCGTTCCAGGGAGCACGCCTGACACGAATGGCCCCGATCGTGACATCGCAAAAGACCTAGAGGACCGAATCCGCAGGATCTTGCAGGAGAACAAAAAGTTCATGGGCCCAGACAACGCCGATGGCGCACACCCAACAATGTCTGATCTTTCTAGCGGAATTGCGGATGAGTTCACAACCCAAAACAGCTACCATGTCCGCTTGATCGCGCCCCAGATCCAGCTGCAGAGCGACAAAAACAAGAAGCACGTGGTTCTCACGGCATCTAAAGGCATGGAGCTCAAGGTGGTCGACGTACTCGACAAGAGCAGGCTATCCGACACTGTCAGCGGCCTTGTGCAACGCCGCTTTCTCGTCAACATGGATAGCACACAGTTTTTTGTGACCCATCAAAAGTGGTTCTCGACGCAGCTCGTATCCATGTACTCGGGCAATACCTATGGTACACCGGCCGGTTCATCATGGCCGCCGTGGGTCCCTATGGAGGTCATGTTTGACTTCCAATCAGACCCCTTTGGATTCAAGCGCGTTGTTCAGAAAACGTCGGCCATGCTCCGCTACGACAAGTTCAACACGCTCCGTCTCAAATACCATGACGAGGTCAACACTAGCGAGGGCCAGGATCCGACTGAGCAAGATAACACCGAGAGCAGGACAGACAATGTCTGGGTCGAGTTCCCGCAAGCTCACGCTCTTTGCAACTCTTCCCAGTATTATGCAATCTACGTCATCGTACTGGATCTCCTCATGTACAGCGAGCCGCTAGAGAAGACGCGAAACGAGAGGCTCGAGAAGATCATGCTGGCTTCAGACTTCAGCGACTTGAGGGGAGTTCCGGAGATGGTCATCAAACTTCAGGAGCGCGTCCGGCAACTGGAGGAGATCAAAACGCACTTCCAGATTCACTCGAAACAGCTAGACAAGAAGGGGTGGAAGGACCGGTTGGTGCTGGAGCGAGACCTGGCAGCGTGCGAGGACGAGCTGTTCTTCATGATGGAAGCCATCACCTCGTCACAGCAGAAATTTGACAACAACACCACCAGCAGTGCGTTGCTGAAGTGGAGTATCATGGCTAAGGAGATTGTCTGGCAGCTCGTCCGTGACAACAATGAACCCCTCGTCGAGCTGCAGCTCAAGGATGTCGAGTACGATCGGATCGACAACTCGGACGGGTCGCATATCAATCTGATCCAAGTGGGCAAAATCCTCGGCCTCAACCTGCTCCCAGAGGCCATCTATCCATCCATGGTCGCACCATACTTCGAGGGAAGCCGGGCCCTTGCCGATCCAGACTCTCAGCCCATGATCCGGGTGTACTGGAACATGCTGGAGGCCATCGCGGGCATTCCAGTGATGGACCATTTTGAAGTCACACTTTTCCCCCTGAAAATCCAGCTCGAGCATGATATTGGGAAGAAGCTCTTCGAATACATATTCCCAGGCACTGATGGGGGGAGTACCTCCAGCGGCAAGAATGATTCGCCGTTCATGATCAAGCAGTCTGCTACCGATGACGAGGATGACGAAATGGATGCCGAGCCGTTGATCGACCGCCTTGGGGTACCCGACAAGGACCAAGATGGATCGCCATTCACGACGCGGGCTGGCTCTCTTGAAATCCGGTTGCGGCCGACTCTCACCTCGGACCCAGACGAAGCGTCTCTCAAGCACAAGGCGCTCAGCATCCACTCAGGGGAGGGTACTTCGTTTCGGCTCTTCCGGTCGGGAACTGGGCTCAAAACAATCAACAAAAAGCGGTCATACGACTCGCTACGTATTAGCACCCCACGCCCCAGCGTCGGCAGGACAGGGACCGGCTTTTCTACGAAGGACGGCGCTTCGATCAACGGCGACTCCAGGAAGGGCTCTCGCTTCATGCTGCGTCACAAGTCTAGCGATGGCGACAAAGCCAAACAATCCGACGACCTGTCCAAGATGATGGACCGTGCCTCCAACTACATGACATTTGCCTACATCAAGATGCCCTCGGTCGTTCTCTGCCTCAGCTACAAGGGCAAGGGCGAGCGTAACTTTGAGGACGTGCACGACTTCGTCTTCCGGCTCCCGACCATCGAGTACCGCAACAAGACGTGGTCCAACCTCGATCTCGCGCTGGCGCTCAAGAGCCGCGTCATCAAGGCGCTCATCAGCCACACGGGCGCCATCATCGGCAACAAATTCTCCCGCCATCGCCCCAACACGGCGCAGCAGTCCAAGCTGCGCGAGCTCGCCACCACCTCAGTCCTATTGGCCACGCCGACGACATCCGAGTCGCGCGACAACAGCGGCGATGATTCGTCCTCGTTGTACGGGAACTCGCCTGTCGATTTCTCCCGTTCTCCGCCCAGGTCGATTCGCAGGTCGCAGACATCCATTCCCATCCCGACGTCGACTAGCCGCAGCTCGAGTGTCGCGTCGTCGATGCGTTCGCATATCTCGGGGATGAATAACAGCAACGGCAACCAAAGCTATGCCAAGAGCCAGGGTCAGGGCCAAGGTCAAGGCCAAAACCAGGCCTCGGGAACGGTGCCCAGTTTCGTGATGGCGCCGGCCACGCCGTCTACTACACTATCGCCCGACACGCAGAGTCTAAGCGGGAAGTCTGGGTTCAGCAGCCTGCTCAGGCCGGCGTCGAGCGGCTGGTCCAGACCGTTTGGCGGCGGTGACAGGGGCAGTGGGCAGCAAGGGAGCGGCAGTATTAGCAGACCTAGCAGCAGCAGCGGGCTGACTACTGCCTCGGGGTCGGCCTCGTCGCCGAGACGGTCGAATGCGACGAATCCCGAGGAGAAAGAGAGCCCGGAGAGGAGACGGACGGGTGGTATTGGAGGAGGTGGCGGGGGGTTCAGGGATAGGATTCAGGCTTTGGCTAATCGGTTGAAGGAGAGGGAGAACACGGTGGTGCAGGCCCCGAGTGGTGGGGAAGGGGCTGGGGAAGATGGGGAGGAGGAGAATGGACTGGTGAGGAAGATTAGTCGGGCGAGGAGCTGAAACTGAACCCGCGGTCTTGGACATCGGGGAGATATACTCCCTTGTGGGGAGTGGGTCGAGGTATACATAATTTCTACTATTTCAGGTGTTAGTATTTTTGGCAAAGTCTTAGAAGGCCGGAGGGTAGAGGCCAAGGAGGCAACAGGTCTTGCATGGATCGGAGCATTGGAGGGTTATGGTTTTGGTGGTGTGAATAGCACGCCGTCTTTGTTCCCAAGTAGTTCTACAAGTCATTCTCATATACATTTTGACCTACACTGAAAAGTAACTACAACGTCCGACTCTTCCATGTGATAGTTGTATGTACACACTTGCCTGTGGGAGGGAAACCCTGGGACCTTGATGGCAGGGTCCTTATCTTATCGGAGCTCAGCAGCCGCTTGCCCCTCCATCGACTTCCAGGCAACAAACACGCACAGCAAGAGTCGGAGATAACTAAGAGCTCCCAACATCACTAATTCCTCTTCGCAGCACCTCTCATCACATTTTGAGAACTGCGTGCAAAAATGGGTAATTAACGATTGATATTGAAGAGAAATAGAGGAAATACGGCTAACAGATTTCCCGTTGCAGAGCTACCATTAACCGATAAGCTGGTCGACCGCCAGCGAGATGCCCTCTTCAACTACTCGGCAGCCTCCCAAACCGAAGCCAGCGCCGCGCGGCCGTGGGCTAAAGACCCTACATACTTCAAGACCGTTCGCGTATCACCGACGGCGCTCGTCAAGATGGTCATGCATGCCCGGTCGGGGGGTGCCCTCGAAATCATGGGCATCATGCAGGGGTATGTGGATGGGACGGCGCTGGTAGTGACAGACGCCTTCCGGCTGCCGGTCGAGGGCACCGAGACACGAGTCAACGCCCAGAGCGACGCCGACGAGTACCTCGTCGAGTACCTCTCGCTGTGCCGCGACGAGTCCCGCCAGGAAAACGTCATCGGCTGGTACCACTCACACCCGGGCTACGGCTGCTGGCTATCAGGCATCGACGTCGCCACCCAGCAGCTACAGCAGCTACAAGGCCCCATGGTCGCCATCGTCATCGACCCGGACCGCACCATCTCCGCAAATCAAGTCGAGATTGGCGCCTTCCGCACCTACCCGGAGGACTACACCCCACCAACCACCACCACCACCACCGCCCCCTCCTCCCTAAGCAGCGGCGGCGGGCAATCCGTGCCGCTCGTCAAAGCGGACGACTTCGGCGCGCACGCGAGCAAGTACTACCCGCTGGAGGTGGAGCACTACAAGAGCACGCTGGACGGCAAGCTGCTGGAGCTGCTGTGGAACAAGTACTGGGTGCAGACGCTGGCGCAGAACCCGCTGCTGACCAACCGCGACTACGCCAGCAGCCAGATGGCCGACGTCGCCCAGCGCGTGCGCGAGACCGCCCTCGCCGTGTCCAGGGCCGGTAAGGGCGCCGCTGCCATGGCTGCGTACGGTGGGGGGCGGGGTGCGGATTATGGAGTTGGGGAGGGTGTTGTTGGGCCGAGTGGGAGTGGTATTGGTATTGGTGGTGGTGGCGGTGGTGGGAGTAGCAGCAGGGCGGTTGATAGGGCGGGCGCCGGCGGGAAGGGTGGTGATGGGGCGGTGGAGAAACTCGTAAGGGATATTGGGCAGATTGCGGCTAAGGAGAGGGCGGGCCTGGCCGCGGCGGAGGTTAAGGCGCAGATATTTGGGGGTGGGAATGTGTGAGGTGGGGTGTGGTTTATGGGGATATAGAAGTCATGATACATTAAACGGCGCAGGGCATGGTGCTAGGCAGGGAAGGGCATGCTGGGGAGTGGAAAATCCGGGCTTGGTGGTATTTGTATGCACAATCCGTCTGGTCCCAACAACGACTCTATTACACACTACACTGTTATACAACCCCCAGGCGTCACCATCGCTGTTCGCCTAGGTAAACCAGGTAGTTACGCCACCTCCGCCGCGGGCTCATCTCCAAGCTCAGCTGCGCTTCTCGCAGCAGACTCCGCGACCTCCAACCGCCGCAGCGTCTCGTCCCTCCCCAAAATCTCAATCGTAGTCCACATCGGCAACCCCTTATCCCCACCCAGCAACGCCCACCGCAGCGCGGCATACATGTTTCCCCGCACGCCATCAGCATCAGCAGCAGCAGCAAAGCACCCCCGAAACACCTCGTCCGCCCCAATCGCATGCATCGCCTCCTCGATCCCTTCGCGCTTCCAAGCCGCCTCGCTCACGGCGCGGAACTTCTCCGCCATAACCGCCGCCGCCACAGCCAGCGCCGGGGTCCCGTCGTCCTGGCCCTGGCCCAACAGCGCGGGGTTGTCGGCGGCGAGCGCCCGCGCCGCCTGCTCCAGCACCGGCCGCGGCACGTCCCAGATGTAGTAGCGCAGCTTGGACAGCGCGGCGGCGAAGCGGTCGGCCGGGTCGTCCAGCGAGATCTTGCGCGCGCCCTGGACGAGGCGGAGCAGGTCGGGCCGGTAGCGCTCGTTTTCGAGGAGGTGGGGGGTGGGGAGCCGGAGGGGGCCGATGGAGGAGGGGGGGAGGGTGGCCGGTGGTGGTGGTGTTGATGGTGGTGAGGGTGAGGGTGAGTCTTTGGTTTGTTGGGCTTGCTCGATGGCGGTGCGGAGCGGTTGGAGGAATTCCTGCTCGATGGTTTGCTGCTCGGTGGGGGTCTTGGTGGGTTTGTCGAAGAGCCGGTTGAGGTGCTTGTCTTGGAGGAAGGGGAGTTTTTGGAGGGAGACGATGATGTCGCCTTTGCTGAACTTGAGGGACAACTAAAGATTTGTGGTGTTAGGAGAGGGAGGTGCACAGGTTTGATGGGTGGGTTGGTTGGATACGTACGTTTTCAACCATCTCCTCTAGGGTCATGACATCGCCTTTTGTGGGCGGAGCCCGCCAGCCCAGCAAGACGGCAAAGTTGAGGAGGGCCGAGGGAAGAATGTGGCCATTCTGGTAGTACTCCATGCTGGCCGAGTTGTCGCGCTTGCTGAGTTTCTGCCGGTTTTTATCGACCAGCAGGCCGAGATGGGCGAACTCTGGGGGCTCCCAACCAAATGCCTGGTACAACTCAACATGTTTTGGGGTGGAAACGAGCCACTCCTACGCACGCGTTACACAGTCAGCTCAGGCCGTTCTGAGGTGAAAGTGTGAACCTACGGCTCCTCGAATGACGTGGGTAATCTTCATATGACGGTCGTCGACAACATTGGCAAAGTGATATGTCGGGAAACCATCACGTTTCATGATGATGTAGTCATCCTCGGGATCCTTCTTTTTGAATCGATTGTAGATTATGTCCCGAATCATGAGCGGCTCCTCGGCGCTCTTGAACCGAATCGCAAACTCTTCGCCCTTATGGGCACGATCGTCGGACTCCTCGAGAGAGATGTGTCGACATGTGCCGGGGTAAAGGGTTGGTTGACCCGGATTCGTGGGCCTTCCTTTTTGTGTTTTTCTAGGGCCTCAGGGGAGCAGAAACACCGGTATGCCTTTTCCTCTCGCACAAGTTTATCGGCATGCTCTTTGTAGAGAGGGAGCCTTTCGGACTGAAACAGTCAGTCTAAAATGTGTCGAAACACGCCCCAAGAAGAGAACACTTACCTGCCGGTAAGGCCCATATGGCCCCTGCATATCAGGACCTGCCAATGTTGTGAGTTGCCAGAGCGGCCAGCGGTGGATGAGTTCAACGGCTCACCTTCGTCCCATGATAAACCAGCCCATCTTAGGTCTTTGTACAGCCTATCTTCTGCGTCTGATACGAGACGAGACTATATGCATGTGAGTATCTAGTAACCCCTTGACGCATCGTCTCCCAGCCCAAAACATGGTCTCACCTGGTCCGTGTCTTCAATCCGCAAAACAAATTGGCCCCCGGTTGCCCTGGCTAAGAGGTAGTTGAAGAGGGCTGTCCTCAGGGATCCGAGATGCAAGTACCCCGTTGGTGATGGGGCAAAGCGAGTACGGCATGGCGTGTCAGGTAGTTTAGTCCTATCTTGCGACGGCTTTTTCCCCGGATCTACAGTGAGACGAGGTGTGGTCGTGAAGGAAAAACGTTGTAGGGTCTGTGGAAGAGGTCTCCATCTTAGGCATCCCGATGATAATGGCCTACTCAAGAGCCCCCTACCTCTCAAAACAAAACTCTCCATTTCCAAAAAGATTCACGGGGGTTGTTAAAGAGCCTCTATGGGGTTGGTGTTTTGGTGTTTTGGGATGTTGAATGATGAGTTCAGCCACACTTAGAATCTCGACCCTTTGCAAGTTGACAAGGACAGTTGTGGCGGCTAGACTCTCACTATGTGGCGGTGCTAAAACCAAGCAGCTCGGTGTTGCCTTGATAGGAAGGAAGGTGGGGTTTACTGATAAGGCGCCCGCTCACCCATGGTTGTCACCGCTTTTTTTTTCTGGACATGTGCACTTTCATTGTGAAGATGAAGAGCAGGCGGCTCTCATAGCGCATCTAGGAATCCGATCGCTTCTATGACACTCTGCCGTAAATCGTAAATACGGCCTAATGAGTGGTTCAACACTGTCCGACAACTGATACCAACTCACGTCAGCTCAAGGATGCCCCAGCATTTGAAACATCGGTACCTCGCCTCTAGGCGCGTTTTGAATGCTTTGTTAGTGACAATCCTTTGATGAGGCACTCGGCTTTGTTGTCCATACCAGAGTTGTTTGCAGTTGAATTCCACGGCATAAAGCAACATTGCCTCGCCTTGCATAGCTGGTACCCAGAGCAGTAAAATTGTGACAGCCCGCGGACCTTCACCAGTCAAACAAACATAAATTCCGGTTGTCAGGCACCTTCGCAAACGGCCCCTTCTGAACGTGGGGCCCCTCTGGCGCTGCAGGCTGTAACTAAAATTTCCAACTCCCAACGGCGCTCCTCCGATTATCCCACCCACCACTTCGGTTCTTTGGCGAAGGCACACCCCCCACCAACACCGCCCGCGATTTGTTTTGTCCAGATTTTACCACCTGCTGCGACAGTTCCTCTTCGAATCCAACTAAAGCCCAAATAAATCTGCAATCATGGACGGTCCGGGTGCAGACGAGGACCTGGACCTCTACGGTACGCCACACCCTTGTCACCTGTTGTGTTTGGAGCGACAACACAACGTAGCGCAGCAACCATTTGCTAACTCGTCTTCGTGACATACAGCCCTCCTCGAAGTAGACAAGTCGGCTAGCCCCAACGATATCAAGAAGTCTTATCGAAAGGTGAATTTCATTACCCAGCCGAGATCATCCCTCGCACAAGGCACTGACTGATCCTCGCCAGTTGGCACTGCAACACCACCCTGACAAGGTCTCCGAAGACATCCGTGCCGAGTCCGAAGCCAAGTTCAAAGCGATTACGCAAGCATACGAAATCCTTCGCGATGAGGAGAAGCGCCATCTCTACGACACCCACGGCATGGCTGCCTTTGACCCCTCACGAGGGGGGCCCGGCGGTGCCGAGGTTGATCTCAACGATATTCTCTCCCAGATGTTCGGCATGAATATGGGCGGTATGCCTGGTGGCATGCCCGGTGGTGGCCCCCGGCGGCCGAGACGGAGCCCGGACGAAGAACAACCCTACAAAGTCACGCTCGAAGAGCTGTACAAGGGCAAGACAGTCAAGTTCGCCGCTGAGAAACAAGTCATCTGCGGTCAGTGCAAGGGTAGCGGTGCAAAGGACAAGGTCAAGCCCAATACCTGCGACCGCTGCCGTGGTATCGGCCGCCAGGAAGCGTTCCGTCAGGTTGGCCCCGGCCTCGTCCGCAAGGAGGTGATCCCCTGTGACCACTGCCAGGGCTCTGGTATGTACTACAAGGAGAAGGACCGCTGCAAGAAGTGCAAGGGTAAGCGGACCGTCAAGGAGACCAAGGCACTAGAGCTCTATATCCCTCGCGGTTCCTTGCAGGGCGAGCGAATTGTGCTCGAAGGCGAGGCCGACCAGATGCCCGACATGACGCCCGGCGACCTCATCTTCCACCTTATCGAGGAGCCACACGATGACTTCACCCGCATCGGCCACGATCTCTCGGCAGACCTACACGTCACCCTTGCCGAGGCTTTGTCCGGCTTCTCTCGTGTTGTCATCAAGCACCTTTGATGGCAGGGGTATTCACATCGACCACTCCCCGCGGCAAGATTCTTCGGCCTGGTGAATGCGCTCAAAGGTTCCGAACGATGGGTATGCCTCACAAGAGGGGGAGATCTGAAAGGGAGATCTGGTACCTCATTGGTTAAGATTGACTTCCCACGAGGACGGCTGGGCTGCCGAATGACAGGCGACCACGAGACGTCTTCAGAAACTCCTCCCACCCTCCCGCGGCACCTATCCAGGCTGACGAGATCGATGAGGTGCATTACGAGGAGGACGCCGATATTCGAAAAGGTAAGTCCCACTAGCACAAGTAACCACGAGCATGGCTGACAGTAGCTTCACAGATGGGTGCTCTACCAAGGCGACCCGCGATACGGCGGCGAGTGGGAAGACGATGAGGAAGACGAGGGCGGCCCGCAGTGCGCCACACAATAAGTCAATTACGGACTACCGGTCTTGTGGCAATATGGCATCAAGGGATAACCCATGATAAACGGGGGATACAAGTACCCTTTGCGGCTTTTGAAGCTAGGACCATCGGCCATGGGCTCCTCCGTTACGGTGTGGAGGCAGAGATGGGCCGCCCAGTCAACACTCTCCAGCAAAGTCATCGACGCGGTTCGTCGGCTTGGATAGCCTGAAGTTCATCGCGCCAAATAGTGCCACCCCCCCGGCTTCAGGCATATTTAGGCTTGTGGCATGATCGGGGGTGATTTTTCGCTGTTCCAATGCCAACTATAGACATGAGAAGTCGAGCAAACACCATGGTGGGGTCGCTTGTCTTCTCGTTCGGGGACTTCATTCTACATAGACGGGGCATGACTTAATGATCCGAAAATATTGTAGACGTCTCGCCCGGAATGCCCGCATACGTGATACTCGCAATGTGTTCGAAAGATTCCTTCTCGTATCCGACTTGATTTCTGATGCTCGTGGGATACTGGTGGTGCTCGGGGAGTTGTGATCTCACCTCTGGAGGATGCGAAGTGCAGGCTCCCGGCCCTCACCCGAAGGTCATACTCGTAATTATTGCATTCAACGTCTGGACAACACGGCGAGGAAAAGCAAAAGATTAATCGCGTCGAGGTAGTGATGCTCCTGCTACCATGAAGTTCAACAAGTGATGGTGTTCTTGGCCCCTCGCTGTCACTTATCGATAAGAGGCGGGCCCCATGCCTCGCCGTTCTGCCAAGCTGAGACCCGCATCGAAATATGCACAGACCACTCAGCCTTAACAATTTTCACACAACCCTAAGCCCACCAGCTCGACCAATTTCTGGAATTTTTCCCAAGGTAGGTCCCGACCGTGACGACGCCAAATTCGACCATCACCCGACAACAATACCGTCAAGGTAAAAACCACCCGTTTTGCTGCCATTATCAGCTCCATATTCCCAATTACTCTCCATTCTAACAAACCGCACAGATGGTTGCCGCCAAGAAGCACATCCCGATCGTGAAGAAGCGTACGTCCCTCGAGCCCTCTCTCTCCACCGATTGATCTCCCGAACCACCGAACAAGCCCTTCACATCTCACGCCGAGATACCGAACTTTGAGTCAACGATGGGATTTTTTAGAGCGCGAATGTTGACAAGCATGTTGGTTTGTAGGCACTAAGCGCTTCATGCGCCACCAGAGCGATCGCTTCAAATGTGTCGACGCGGCGTGGCGCAAGCCCAAGGGTATTGACAACCGGGTCCGGAGGCGCTTCAGGGGCACTCTGGCTATGCCCTCGGTATGTGGCAACCTCTTCTTGGGTCCTATTGCGGGCGAAGTTCTCGAAGAGTCGGGACTTGGGAAACAACAGTGGGATTAGCGGCCTGCTCGGACCTCTGCTGCGCGGGAGACGAGGAATCACGGCTAACAGGAGGATTCTCCTCGCGCTTGCAGATCGGCTATGGCTCCAACAAGAAGACCCGCCACATGATGCCTTCGGGCCACAAGGCTTTCCTCGTCAGCAACGTCCAGGACGTCGAGCTCCTCCTTATGCACAACAAGACTTACGCCGCAGAGTACGTGCTCACTCGTATCCAACCTCGAGCGGAATGCCGCCGACAGAAATTGTGGGATGTGTCATTGGGGCAATACAGGGCTAACGCGGTCTCTCCAGGATCGCCCACAACGTCTCCTCGAGGAAGCGGGTCGACATCATTGCGCGGGCGAAGCAATTAGGTGTCAAGGTCACCAACGCGAAGGCGAAGGTCACGACGGAGGTCTAAGCGGCAACCAACAGTTACGGGGCAACTTCTTTCTGTGTTTTGGAGCATCTCGGGCGGTCTTAGGGAAAGGTCTGCTATTTGTCTGCGATTGCCTAGCACCCACCCAAGCTAGTGAATACAATTGCGGCCTCCTTCGTCACGGGCAAACAGGCAACAGCCGACGTCGGCTGGTAGGGTTCTCTATCGGCGTCACTGGGGCGGCGTATCCGGGGCCGAGCGGCGATGAGTTGACGAACGACATAACAGCCGGGACGATGAATCAGAAGAAATACCCTCGTTTCCCCCCGATCTGCAACGTCTGCCCCGGTACAGTGACCTGAATGTCCAAAATGATGTTCGTGCTCAACGTGTGCTTTTTTCTGACCTTGGTTTTCTGAAAAAAAGTTTGCTGTCTTCCAAAGTTTGCTCTTCCTCGCTCAATAGCGCCGTGGGATTTGTTTAGTGATACCTTCTACGTACGGAACTTGTGAACAGTTATGGAGTTTCACAGAAAGTATGCTTGACTTCAGCTCCGTGTGTACCCGTCTCCAATGATCCGGTATCGCATTTACTGGAGCTTGGCTCGGGCTATTCGCAATATTTTTGGCGAGAGCGCAGCCCTTTTATCCAACCTGAGGGAGCGGATATGTATAACATACTACTACCTATGTGCCAGCAGCATTCGCTTAGTGGGCCCCGGGCAGGTAGAAATAGCCCTTGTTTTCTTGTCTTCTGTCTTTGAGAGACCCATCCTACAAGGTTAGAGAGGGGTGCCGTTTTTAAAGATTAAGTTCTCCCCCTGTGACGGAAAGCGCACCCAGGGTTGGGGTTGGAGGTGCACTTCCGCATCCGGACTAGCTCCGTTCTGGGCATGCCTTCTCGCGTTGCCAACGCGCTATCTTGTATCTTTCCTCTCTTTCTTCAGCTTTCGATTAACGGAATAGAGTGGTACTGGCAGTGCCTTTGAGCCTCGCAACCCCTTCCGCTCATCTCTCACACCCCCTATACAACACCCTTTGTATCACTAGGTACCTTACCTACCTAGTTACTTATTAGCATTGTCTACTTTTAGATAGAAATCATAGCACAGATCACGCTTCACGACTAATTGTCCAAGATGCTCTCTCCGTTGAAAGTGGTGTTCCTGAGTTCTTGTCGCCACGACCGATGTAACTACCTATTACACCAAGCATCTGACCCCACAGCTGCCCTCGAGTACTTGTATCAAACCTCAATGGCTTCGGCCAGCCAGCTACCTGAGTATCTAGCCCATCCCCAATTTACCGCCGGTAATTCTGTATCGCTCCTCAATCGGTGGCCAAGCTAAAGTTAACGCTGCTGGGGTTTTGAGGTTTGTGGTTGGTGTCATGCTGCGATCTGAACGGGTAGAAAGATATAGACAAACGAGACCTCCTTTTATGCATGCCAAGCTCCATGTGCATGCTATGGAAACTCTTACATGCTTTCGAGGTCAGGTTTTACACAGGCAGGAGCAAAAGAAGCCAAACCCAAGTGCAGATGTAGGCCAAACCTTTAGCGACGAGAACGAAATGAAAGCCATTTGAGAGCTGAAAAAAAAAGATTTTTATTTAATGTCTATCTTGCTGTCTCCCTTGCTGATTTTTCTTTTGTTTTTTGTTTTTGTTTTTTTTGGTTTTTTTTTTTTCTCCCAGCAGCTTTTTTTGGCCAGAGGGATCAGGTCTGGCTCAGCTGAACAGGCACAAGTCATCGAGGGCGGTTAAATCCTCCTCCGCAGCGAAGACAGGACCCGTATACACCCACGAAGGGATCGACGGGGGAACGACGGTGCCTATCCGTCCCGCAAAACCGAAGTCAACCAACACAATCCTGCCGTTTCCGTCCTTCATCACGTTGCCGGGGTTCACGTCCCCATGGCAAAACCCCGCCGCGTGGAGCTGCGGCAGCGCCCGCCGGACCTCATCCCGCCGAGCTTTCAACTCACCTTGCCCCAACTTGCAGAGCGGGCGCATCCGGTACCCGTGGATGCGCCCACTGTCCACGATGGGGCGCGGGTCCACCTCGGGCACCGGAAGTCCCCCGACCCCTCAGCGAGTTGAGGACATTAAACTCGCCCTCGATGAGGTCTACGGAGGGCGAGTCTGGGTGGGCCACCTTGAGGACCGGGAACCGATCCCCAGGCCCGTCGGAGGCGCGGACGGAGGCGTAGCAGCCGTGGTTGAGGGGCGACGACTGTTTCCACGCAGCGGCGAGGGCGGGAGTCAACGGCACGGGGGAGACTTCAGCATCGCCGACGGCCGGGAACTTGGTCAAACCGGGGCACTCAACGCGCCCCCACCAAGTGACCTTGAAAGCTTCCCGGCGGTAGTCGATGATGCAGCTGTGGGAGTCCCCCCCGGGGTCCTGGCGGGGCGTGACTGGGCACGCCCGGGTCCGGTCGTGGTGGGATTGGGCGGATAGCGAGCCGGTGGTGTCGGGTGTGTGCTCCATATTCGTGTACTGGTGTCCTTGCGGGGTGACAGAGCTTCAGGGTCGGCCAGCCATATAAACACCGCGTCGGCGCGCACGTACCTCTTCGATGACTCTTAAAGTGAGGTCGCCACCGACTGTGCGGCATCACTTAACGTGAAAATTGGCGCGGTGGCCTTCGCACAGACATGTTAAGGCGTGCGTGTGGCCTAGGCAATAGGCAGGTGTGTGGCCTAGGGGATAAGAGCGCGAAGATGCCTTGTTGACCGTATAATGGGGATTTGGGTGGTCATCACTAGAGCAGCGTATCTACTTACATGTATATATGGACAGTTCTCTGTACTAACTACCAAATTCAAAAGGTCAAACCAGTGATGGTCATTATAGATTCCGCCTCAGCAGAAGTACGCTAACTGTCTGACAGAAGGTGCTAGGGAATGTAAGTAAAGATAACATTTAGGAATTTTATTACAAGAAGTCTTTTTTCCATGCTTGGATTAAATTCCCATCGCCAATATTCTAGGACGTCGTGGAATATCTATTCATTATATCCAGCCCAGCACTCATAAAGAGTTCTCCTCCTTGAACTGTAGCGTTTTCCTATTTGAACTGTAGTGGTCCGTGCGTCAGCCAAAACGGGAAGGCGGTGAGCTGCATGATTCGGAGCCCTACTTTGGAGACAAATCATGGAACTTCGCTCCAATAGTCACCATTTTCATCCAGCAGAACGCACGAATACCAAGAAGTTCTTCAAGCCCTGATTCAGGAAAATACGCAAAACTCTCAATTCGAAGCTCGCCTCTTCACAAATCCCAGACCATAGGACTTCCCCTAAAAGTTCAGATCAAGCAAGAGCTCGTTGCAGGAGGCGTAAGCCGGGCCAGTGAGGAGACGGTGGCCTAGCGGGATGCTTGGTGGTGCAGGTGCACCATAAGGAGACCCTGTCAAGACAGCCTCTGGTTGGAGTGAAGCCGGTAACTCCTCCATGTCCTGCAGACTGCGCAATGACATATATTTAATAAGAAAACCTGAAATCAAAAAATTAGCACTTAAATAATCCATTCTCGATGCCCAAATGAGGGTATTCTCACTGCGCCGTTGTGGAATCGTAACGTTGCTTCGGGTGTTATGCTGTGATGCTGTGTGGCAGGCATCAAGCGGCAGAATTAATTAGCCGACGTTTTGCAGTGTTGCGCACGGACCACTACAGTTCAAATAGGAAAACGCTACAGTTCAAGGAGGAGAACTCCTCATAAATGAGAACTTGGAAAATGTCACGAATATGCCAACAGGAGGGACCCGGGGGGGGCGCGGGACGCCCCGAGCCAATCATTAGCAACCAATCAGGAGGCCAAGGAGTAGTCAAGGTGATCAGTGAGCTCAGTTGCCAAGGACAGACTGAGCACACTGAGCACCAGGACAGGACCACCAATAGGGAGCCGGGATGGCTCAACATTGATCAGTGAGCTCAGTTGCCAAGGGCATACTGAGCACACTGAGCACTTAGGAATCAGCTAGTATATAGTCACTCGTCCTGGAGAGCTCTGGGAGTTCTCCAGTTAGCAATCACAACTACAGTTCGCTACAAGCTCGGAAGCCTACTGTTGAGACAAGCCTTTGTTGTGAACCTAAGCACCCTTGAGAGATTACCTTCAACCGAAGCTGAACCCTAACAGGACAGGGTCCTGAAGTAGGTTCGTCACAGAAAAGCAGCCTTCATCTCTCACTAAGCCAGCACTTAGATCCTTGAATGAGTCGCAATGGAGGAAAACAGCCCAACCAGTAACACAACATTCTTATGGATCCTATAGTATCACTTGAGTGAGAGAAGACGTGATACAAGCCCAGCGCAGACGCCCAGGCACGTTACAAGTTGAGTACCCTCAGCCACTATGCTTTATTTAGTCTTCGGTATAGGAAGAATGAAACTGACTAACTTGAAGATCCTTCCAGATGCCAGATACATGCAAACTTTCTGGTGAAACCGATGGGTGTAAAACCAACAATTTTCAGCACTATTAGGTACCTAGTTCATCAACATTCCGCTTACGTCTTTGAAGCGTTTCGAGAGTTCAAAGCTCCGACGATCTGGGCTCAAATTATGAATTCGGTCGCTAATCCAGAGATCGAGTAAGGCATACCACAATCAACCGCTTTCCAATGCACGGTGCAGCCCTCCATGATTTCCAGCCTAGTAACGGGAGAATGTCATTGAATCCAGATCTTCCCACATATCCTGTGCCTTATCCATCCTTGATTTCTCTCGCGAGCCAATACGGTGACGTCAATCTACAATATTAGCTGCAACGGTGGGTATGTGAAGCCGCAAGCCCGCTACCTCATTGTGTCATCATATCCCGAGGCCGTCCTACCCGATACAAAACACCAGCCTCGAGAAACGAGGAAATGTATTGCGTGATCCGAAGCCAGTACAAGACATCTATTTTAATCGTCTCTCCAAAGACAGTGTTTGAGTTGTCTACTTAGGTAGGTTGGGGCCGCCATATCGTGGGAAAATGGCACAGTTTACAGGGTTTTCCTTCCCGTTTGTTCGTTGTGCTATCGGGATCCGCCGTGACAATCCAAGATATTCAGATGATGATCTTGAGACTTGGGTACCGGGAAAGGACCGAATTCCCAAAATACTCGTGTGACCATCCCGTCTCCGAGACATTAGGTATATGGTCAGTTACCCAGATAGCAAGCAGCAAACCAGCACGAGATCTTTGGAGACTTGAGAATGCCACAAACTGAGATGGCCAACTCGAGCGTCCTTTCCGTGAAACAGCATAACGGTCCACACAGGTTCCACACGTGATGAGGGCAATGGCACTCAGGGCACCATCAAACTAATCCTATGGCCATTCTGAGCCGAAGAATGGCAAGAGCAAGGCGATGATGACGCACGACAATCCAATAATAGTGTCGAAAACCCTCGTTGAGAAACCAGGCTCAGCAAGTATTTAAGATGCGTAGTTCTCTCTATCTGCTCTCTTCTACCATGTTTCTCATCTCTCACAACAACCTCCAGCGATCATCGTATGCCATACCTCTGCAACTCATTCAACATGACCTTCACCAACCTCCGCTCCATCGCACTCACCTCTGTCCTTGCAGCAGCCGCAGTCGCTGTGAGCCGCCTTGTCCATCAAACGTAAAGAATCCTCTAACCCCACCTCCTATTAACTCGTAGCCCCCCGCTGCGAAAGATAGCCCGATCGAGGGCTACACCATCGCCCCCGCCACGTGGGAGTTCAACGGTCCCGATGGTCAAACGGTTCAGCTTAACGGCACGGCGCAAGAGGTCGTGGCCCAATTCGACGTGCTCGTCCCCAACTCGCGGGCCCAGCTCATCGCTTCCATCACCGCCGCCTCCACCTCCACGAGCCGCCACGACGAGAACTCCCTACTAGAGAAGTGCTACGACGAGACCAAGCTCCATTGCTGGGTCGGCCACTGGGACTACGCGAGACTTTCCGCCATCCAGGACGGTACGTCGTGGCGTGGATTCCACGAATCCTCATTTGCACCGAGTGACCGGACCATTCTAACACTGTGCCCTCGTCTTTCTTCTCGTATTACCAGGCATCGACTATCTAAACGGCGTCCCTGGCCGCCCGTGGCACAACCCGCGACCCAGTACTTGCGCTAGGGTGTCCTGCTCAGTACGTCGTGCACCTTCTCAGCTAACTATTTCCCATGAAAGAATGATGGCTAACCAACTGTGATTCTACCTACACCCACAGTACGGTTCTGCCATATACTGGTGCAACGACAACCGATCCCGCAAGGAGCTGAACAGCTACCAGGTAATTCCGCCACACACACCTCGAACCCACATCCCCAGCCAGCTCCCATCAATACTTACAAAGTACCTGAGGTACTAATCCTCCCCATGTCTTCCTAGAACATCGCCCACGGCGCCGACAGAATCAAAAACACATGCCACGAAATCTTCCCCTCGATGACCCTGACCCAAGGCCAGATCTTTTACAAAGACAACTGGAACGTCATTGTCCGTGGTGACGACTGCTGAGTCGGTTTCGAACCTTCTCATCTGCCATACTTGATTATCCAGGAAGGATGCCCACTTGAGGACTTGATGTGCTACCAATACCTGATTTCCGGTTCCAAGTACTTCTCAACTATTTTATCCTCCCAAGTTACGCTTTCTCATGGCATGGTGATGAGGGGCCTACCAGTTTAGTATCTACCTATTGGCAAACAATCAACACCTTAACAAGATCAAGATACTGACGGGTCCATGTCACCGGTGTCATAAAACGGGCATTGCCGCAAAAGCAAGAACACTGGAGACTGTGAATGATAGGTAGACTCTTTCCCTAATAACGATGTATATATACCACTAGACCAAAACCGAAAACGTGCCCCCAATATGCTGAGGTTGAGGATCCAACGTGCAAAAAGAATCATTCAAGAGCAATGACAAAAGCAAGGAGAATGATAACCGCTATTAACAACAAAATCTTTTTATGTAACACAAGCGCCCTTCACTGATCCTGATTCCATGCCAAAATAGGCTGGGTGTGTTTTCTCTAACGCTGCTGCGGTTTTTGTACGCCAACCCGCCCAAATACAAAACACCAGAAACCAATGCTAAACAGTAATACCAAACAGGAGCTACTAAAAATCGAAATTAGGCCTTGATGTTGGCCATCCTCTTCGACATGCTATCGACACAGTTAGTACATGGTCATGCCAAATTAAGTAAAGGACTGGGGGGGTTGTCATACAAGTCGTAGAACGCAAACTGGCTCGGCGAGCTACCGCACTCATACACGAAGCGGCTGGCGAGGTAGCTGCCAAAGATGGCGCGCAGGTACGCGTCCGGGACGCGGTGGATAATGGTGTCGAGGCCAATCTTCTCGATCAACAGATTGGGTAGGGCGTCCGCAAGCACGGCGCGGCGGACGTGCTCCGTCTCCCACAGGTCCGAGTGCTGCAGCTGTTGGTCGAGCGTCGTGATGGCACTCGACAGCTTGTCCGAAAGGATCGAGCGTGGGACGCCTGTCTGCTCGTGCTCGCGCCAGATGGCGTCAAACTCGAGCCGGGCGTTCTCCTGGATCTTCGCCTGCACCGCCTTGACGTACGCCTGGTAGAAGGTAGGCGCGTTGCCCTTAGGACCGTGGCACATGTGTTCAACGAATCCAGCGTCGTCAAAGCTAAGGGACGCGAGAACCTCGAGCGACGAGCTGGTCAACGCCGCCCTTGTAGCGCTAGCG